TAGACCTATAAAAGATTCGGTATCTCCTCTAGTGCCTCCCACACTCCATTCCCTCCGGCTCTGGGAGAGAATACTCAGGAAAACCCTTTGACAGTCCCCGTGCAGTTGAAAAGGAGAACGTATTCACCAATTAGAACTATTTACCCACTAAGCTCCTCTCAACTCCTCCTCTCATCCCATCACATAGACCCATGGAGAAGGGAGACGTTCACAGCTGCCCCTCCTATCTCCCGAGTAACAGAATGAAAGTCAGTGGAGCTAGATTACTCCTGTGAGCATCCTCAGAGTGGATGATGTCTCTAAGCCCTTCACTATACAGAAAGGTAATGCAGCTTGCGACACAGTGACTGACAAGTCCCTGGTTTCTCTTGTCTTCAGGGCAAGTCTGTATCAAAACTACTTGTAGGAACCAAGGGGGAGATATGGCGGCTCTGCTTCTGACATCTGACCTCAGACTTGACTTTCTGTTGAACCAAGAATAAGGAAAGTAGCTGGGATTTGGTCCTCTCCCCGTGCGGATTTATTCACAAGTGCACGCTGACCAAAGCAATGGAAGCGCACATACACCAGATGTTCCTGATGGCTGTCTCTAGGATTACCAGGAAATCTCATTTTCTTCTTGGTGGTTTTACTTCCAACCCCTCCTCCCAATTTCTATAATGGATACAAATTCCTTGTCTAATCCCCTTCCAACAGAGGAACATTACTTAAAAAGGTAAACCAGATGGTTCAATAAATTCCTGATGTATACACCCAAATCTGTCATCAAAACGGATCAGGTGGAAGGGCTCTGTAGTAAGGAAGGGCATGGAATCTGGAAGCGGCTTCCTGGCTTCCCATCTCAATTCTGTGGCTGCTGCTTCTTCTTACTTGACTTAACCATAGGCAAATATTTTAGCCATTCCTTGTTTCAGAGATCTTCTCCACAACAAGGTCCACACCCTCTGCACAAGGCTGTGAGAACTACATGACTTCCAATGAGCCGCCCTCAGAAGAAGGTCGGGTCCCTAGCAATTATGTATTTAGTGCTGTTGCTCACGGCAGCAGCATTGCCCCTGAACAAAAGATTTCTGGCCTGTGTTAGAGGAGTATTTGTTTCTGTCTTAAACACACCTTGTCAGCTATTCACGAACATCCAGGAACCCAGGTTCCCCCATTGTGCTAGTTCTAGGGAGCAGTCAAGCAGCTTAGGCCTTCAGAATACTTCTGAAGTCAACAGTGTGGTGCTGTGTTCATTTACTCTCCGTGAAAAACACACATGCTCATATACATCAGAACCGCTCAGCCGCAACCAGGACTGATTCATCCCAGGGTAACGAACTGGCTCTGCCTCAACCAGAAAGAGATTGAAAAATAAGTCTTAATTAGGAATCCTTCCCTTGATCAGCCCTGAAGGTTTTAAGGAACATGAGTACAACCAAAGGACAAATTCCAGAAAAGTCTGATTTACATTTAAATCCAAGTCTTTTTTCCCCTTCTCCACAAAATTTGCTGATGCCAAGTTTTAAATATGAAATGTCATTGTTTTCATACAGATATTACCAAGCATTACCCGTTGTCATTTTGGCATTCAATGGAGTTATGATATTACAATGGCAACATTAGCATTTTCAAAAGCCTACCGCCATTGTTCTTCTGTAAATTGTTGCAGCTCATATTACCTTACACATAATCTTTATAAAAAAAATGAATGGGTGCTAGCATCAAAGCCTAGTCTGAATGATGATTAGCGTAGTCACCTCCTCTGTCTGAGACGCTAATAGTCTCATGCCAGCGCTGTTACTGCCCCAGTGGGACATGCAGCAGCCCTGGGCACCACTGTAGCCATGCCAGTGAACGAGATGGACACTGGAAACCTCCCACAATGCAAAAGTTTTTGATAAAATTTTGCCGGGTTGCTACAAAGCAAAAGAATCTTCTGTTTTTCTAATCATGAAAATCTCTACGAAAGAATGCTAATTTTTAAAAAGGTTTCATTGTTCTGCCATCCGTAAGGAAGACTGGGTGCTGCCTAAACAGCTTGAGTAGAAGCCTGGGTGTATTTGTTTATTTCTGCCTCTGAATTTTAAATTTTTTCTAGTTGGAATGTTTCTAAAAATGTATGGCCTGTGGTTTTAGAGTACCTAAATAAACACCATCGCCCTTATAGATGGGGCAAAACAGCAAGGCTGGTAACATCACAGCTTAAGGGAATTCAGCCAGCTCATCCTGACTGTCACGTTGCTGCACACAACAGCTTGGGGATCTAATAAGGACTGTCCTCTTGTTTTATTTTAAATTTATTTCTCTAGTGCACATTTGTTTCTAATGAGCATTGGAGTTTGACCTGCATGTATGTCTGTGAGGGTGTGAAATCCCCTGGAAATGTAGTTACAGTTCTGAGCTGCTATGTGGGTACTGGGAATTGAACCCAGGTTCTCTGAAAGAGTGGTCAGATGCACTGAGCCATCTCTTCAGCCAGGACTTCCTTTTTAAAGCAGAGATTCATGCCTAAATCAAAGGATCATTTTCAGAATTAAAACCCTTTTCATAAATGGTTTCGTATAATGACTAACAAATTCAAAAGAGATCCAGCCTGAAGTGATGGCTCAGCTGTTACAAGCAGTGGCTGCTTTTCCAGAGGACCCAGGTTCAATTCCCAACACCTGCCTGGCAGCTTACAACCATCTGTAACCCCAATCTCAGGGGATCTGATTTGGTCTTCTGGTTTCCTTAGACATTGAATGCATGTGGTCCACAGACATAAACACAGTCAAAACACCCCCCACATATAAAATTACACCTTAACAAAACTATCTAAGTAGATGGGCTACTTAATGTCTGTCCATTCCTAAATTGCCCCAATAAGCTGTGCTGACTAGAATGCCCTTCTAAGAAAGTAACATTTTGGTCATATAATTAATTCTAAGGCTCTTTGCCCTCCTATTATTGTTGGGGTTCTTGCCTTTAGCACTTCTTCCTGGTTTTAATTTGCTGTAGGCTCCTTGTGGGTGAGGGGCAGCACCACATGACCACACCAGGCAGATGAAGTCAGAATGGGCCGGGAGAAGAGATACATCCTAAGAGTCAGAGACACAGTGAATTTCTCCTCAGAATTAAGTTTGGGACTCGGTGCATAGCAGGTGAGATAATCCAGAGAGGGAATGACTCCCGAGCCTGAAGTCTCCATTCATTCTAACCCAGTGTGGATGTATTAATACCATCGACCATGCCATATGGGAGGGAGGAACTGGCTCAAAACCAAAATAGATGAGACAGTCACAGGATCCCATCCCTGTCACACATGGACTTGCGGTTTCAGGCCCCACTGGCAAGATCTTCCCAGAAGAAATGGCTACCAGAAGCTACAACCTGAAGGACCCAAATGGAATGAGGTGACTCTTGGTGTAGTATCAACGGCTTGTTGCTCTTTATTGGTCAACCATGGGTCAAGCTCAGGTCCTTCCAACTTCCTTTGTTCTCTTCTCCCCCCAGCCCGTAAGTCATGACCTGTTTATGACTGGCTTCCTAGGCAGCTCTCCCCTCAGTGGGAAGATACACTGGCCTTGTGACTTTCTGTGACAGGCTTTCATGGCCAGTCATTAGCTAGACAGTGTGATGTTGCATGCCAGCCTCATAAAATTGGTTAGGGTGTGTTTGGCCATGAGAGAAGAAGACATAAGCATGGTATGTAGGCTTGAAAACCCAAGTTTAGGGCACGACCAGATAAATCCACCCAGGTGACAGAAATCCCCTTGGGATTTCTTGGTTCTTGTATTGAACGCTGTGCTCATTTTGACACTGAACGACAGCATAACACTTTTGGCACAGAATGAGAAATTGAGACCTAGGGTCAGAAGAACCTAATATTGAGGTTGGCTTTGCCATTCAGTCTGCTTTCCTCTATATCAGGGATTCTCAACCTTCCAGATACTGCAGCTTTAATAAGTTTCTTATGTTGTGGTGACCCTCAACCATAAATTATTATTATTATTATCATTGATTTTTTTAGAGGTTTCTCTGTGTAGCCCTGGCTGGCCTGGACCTCACTCTGTAGACCAGGCTAATCGCAAACTCTCAGAGATCCACCTGCCTCTGCCTCCCGAGTGCTGGGATTAAAGGAGTGTGCCACCACAGCCTGGCAAATTTCTTATTGCTACTTCATAACTCTAATTTGCTACCATTATGAACCATAATGTGTGGTGGTGGCACATATCTTTAATCCCAGCATTGGGGAGGCAGAGGAAGGTGGATGAATTTGAGGCCCACCAGCTCTATAGGGTGTTCCAGGACAGCAAAGGCTACACACAAAGAAACCCTGTCTCCTATCTCCTAAAACAAATCATAATGTAAATATCTGTATTTTCCAATGGTCTTAGGTGATCCCTGTGAAAAGGTTGTCTGACCCCCCGCCACCACCACAAAGGGGTCTCATCCCACAGATCAAGAACATCTGCCAAGAACATAGTTCTGTGTGCCTCTTTTTTTCTCAACCATGGAACTGAAACTACTTCAGACTTTTGCTTTGGCTCAAAGTCCAAACAAAAGCAAAGTGATGGATGCTAAAATCTAGAAAGCAACCTGTCCCTGACCATAATTTATGTCCCTGGTCTAAATTTATGATGCTTGCACTCACTGGCCTTTGAGAGATAAGCACGACACTTCCCAGTTGGGCTCACTGTGTTTAGGAAGTGTTCTTAGGCACCTGGCTCCTCTGCGCCGCTGGGCTTTCTTCTCTCAGGTTAAAAAGTCACCTCCTTCACCAACTGTCCCATACATAGGTACGGTTCTCAGGGAGGCACCTGAGTCAACGTGCCTGTGGAATTGTGTGTGTTTCAAGGACAGCCACCACCGCCCCACTCTGCTCAGCAGCCACCCCGCTCAGCAGCCACCGCACCGCCAGATGCTGTGCTCTTCGAGGACCCGCCATCCGAGACTAGCTCCTTAACAAAATTATCCCAGGTCTTAATGTTCTGTCTTCTATGACATAAACACCTTTTTCAAAGACACAAGCCAGCTGCTGTTTGGAGACTGTGTTAGCCATCTTTATTGCACTCAACAGAACAAAGTAAGACACACACAGTGGATATTCAAATAGGGAGTGGTGAGTTTTTTTTTTTTAATGTTTTGTTTTCAATTCTTTTTAACTCAGTTAAATTTTTTTTATTCAGTGAAAAAAGTTGACACCAAGACAAAAAGATTATCTTAAAATTGTGCAACAATGTAGTAAAATCTTCAGCAGAAACCAGTGACTTGGAAACCTAGCAAGGCGACTGAAGTTATAAATACCTAATTTCACTTTGGAGAGAAACAAGCACACAGTGTCTCACTTGAAATAAGAGCAGAACAGGCCTTTATTTTGCTGCAGATACTTCTGACTTTGCCTAAAGTGTCTAGTAAGTCTTAACAAGAGTCTTTAAATGAGGAGTGACATGGGATATCTGAGGGTGATAATGTTCCGCCTCGCCACTTGTGCTCAGCCCACTGAAGTTATTACACATGAAACTAACACCCTTCTTGGGTTGTCGCGCGGCTCTGATGATTAAATTTATAATATGGCTGCTCGAAACAATATGGGCAGAAACACATGCAATTGATCCTCCCTCAGCCACGCTCAGCGGTGGTATTCCATCGGAGAATGCATTTCTCGTCTATCTACCACAGTGCACATCTCTTGCGACTTATCCCGTATCTTAGTCTTGCATAGGAAGTAGTCTTATATAAACTTAATGCCCTGGCTTTTATTACACAAAAGTTGTACCTGAAAAGCAGCACACACTCCAGTTAAGTAAAACATCACAGGAATGTTGAAATACAATCCCGACGCAAGGAAGCATCTGCAGAGGTTAGAGTAGATTCTTACGGCGGCAGAGGGGATGGAAGTCAATCTAGTGATATGTCTGAATTTCTCCTGAGGGGACCTCTCCTCTCCTCTGAAGGAAGAGAATTCTCAGGAACTCGTCATGGCCCTCTTCATGGGACAGAGAACTAACCTATGAGATGGGGTTTGGGCCCAGGTATTTGTGCTGACCACTGAGGGCCATGTGAAGGCAGGATGTGCCAAAGAGACACTGGTGTTTACCTGTAAGGGGCTCAACACTAACACTGGTTTTCCTAGCTCCCTTCTAGACTCCCAGGGTCTTCCTCCTGCCCTATAAGTTGGAGAGTGGCATTTAATCTAGCAGGCCATCTATCTGGAGAGGAGAGACCATGCAAGTGACTGTCCCCTGCCAGCTTGTAATCATATCCAGTGATGCAATCAGAGATAACATCTGAAGAGCCATTCCTTTAACAGCCAGAGTGCCAGCCAGCTGCCCAGCAGTAGGCCAAGCTCCCCAGCTTGCCAGGCATCAAGCCATGAGAGAGTCTCACCTGTCTGCTCAGGCATGGCCCCTCTCCACAAACCTTGGAGGAACTCTCCTCTGTCATTGCATCCAAAAAGATCCATGTCCCACAAAGCTCAAAGGGTACTCAGTACAGGAAGGAAAAAAAATCACTTCCCACACAGTCCACAGGAAACCAAGTACCTGGTGTTCCAGTATATTCCATTCCTGGGAGGTGGGAACTTGCCAAGACTACACTTAGCTTAGTCTTAATTCCCTATTGTCACTCTGGACTCTTGCAGATAACGTGGATACATCAAAACCTCCACAGAGCTAAGCAGAGGGAAACAGGAGTGCGTGCTCGAAAAGTTCACAAAAATAGACAATTTACACATAGCTGCATCTATCCGGCTTAGTCTTCGGGACCTCAGCTCTGCTATTTATATAAAATAGTCTAGCCTTAAATGGCTACATGTTTTCAAACAGCACAGTGCATCTTCCGAGGAGAGGGGTGGCGGCGGGTCTGTACAGTACTATGGTTCAGCATCGGGAGGCCCTGGAGATCGGCCTCGATGCCTGGCAACAGCGTCCATTGCCTGCAGGAGACATATGCTCCGTGAAAAGGCTCGCCTGCAGAATAATAGACAATAGTGCCGCTGAGCCTTTTACACCAGCTCCTACAAATGCCACCAAAAACTTGGCAGGAAAAGAAAATGAGAAAATATACTTTCCTAGCAGTTCAATTCAATGGCTTGCCTCCCACCAGACTGTTAATCTTTCAGCTACTTAAAGACTTTATTTATGTGGAGGTGGTAGGGCTGGGGGAACATTGAGCAAAACTTGAAAGCAAGACAAGATAAAGCTGAAAAAATTCCAGTCTGGGGGAAAAAATATAGTGAAACAAGGTGAGAGGAAAGAGGAGGAAAAGGAGTTGTAAGACAACTGACTCCTTATTCCTGGCATTTGATACCAGGATTTATGGTCACACAGTATGCTATGTATCTACAGGTCAAAATGCTCATTTAATAGACACAGATAGTCTAAGAAAAAAATTGGCTCTTGTTTTCCAAACAACCCTCAGGTAAATTGTGACTCTATTTCCACCAAAGAATGATACTTTGAGTTAAAAGAAACCAGCATTTTTGTGAGGAGGGACACATTGCATGGAAGGGGAGACAGGTTTCACAACACTTGCATCTAGAAAACATGTGTTCAGAGGCAGAACTTTGGAATATTCACAAAGCTTGCTGCTTTTCCGCTGGGAGGGAGGAAATCCTCAGGGAGGTTGTTCATACAGCACAAGTCACGACACGCTGGACATCGGTGCCTACACGCTGGACCAAAGGATGGGTTGAGGCCACAAAGAAGTCCACAGTACTTTCAAGTGGTCGTGACATGAAACACAGGGTGCGGGGGATGTGTTTAGACACACATGGTATTTTACAGAGAAAGCAAATGAACAAATCTGCTGATGGAGAAGTCAAACATTTAGATCACCTCCATCCCTGGCAACACCTCCAACATTCTCTATGGATGGGTGGGGGCACAGGCTAGGGAAGTGGAGTTGGGGGTAGGGGGTGGGGGTGGGGATGCGGAGAAGGCACTGACCAAATTCAAAATGACTGCATATATCAGTATGGACTTTTGAGGACAATTCAGTGGCTTAAACCCAATATAAAGTTTTACATTTGAAATTCTTTGGTGGTGAGTAAAAGCAAAAGAAAAACTCAAATTAAAAATGGAGACATGCCATACTATATTTGCAATGCGTATCTATCATGGCACAGTTCTAGAACTTTCTCCCACAACCACAGTAATTTTGTTTTTCAAGTGACAATGATCCCAGTGTATAAGAAAGCAGTGTCAACACTTGGCAGCTTCCAGAGGTACACTTTGTACAGAGACATGCACAGTAAAAGCCCAAGGATTCCTAGAAGACAGGGGGTGTGGCTTGCAGGGCTTCCTAGGCTGTAGTTCAGTTGAACTGGAATCTAGGACTGACCGAGAATTCTCTCCTGACACAAGCAAACCCAGACGGGATTGCTCCTGCTCCCCACCCCCTACACTGATGGGCAAGGGGCCCTTAACACCTAGGGTTCCAGAAGACCACTAAAATATGGCCTTATACAGAGTCCCAATAAATTAACAAAAACAACAGAACAGGACCTTCTCCCACAAGACGCCCACACACTTATGTAAACTAAACCCAAACACAACGTAAAATCTGAGCAGTTTTCAAAGAGAAATGTGATTCTGCCCATCACTCTCTCTTGAAGTTTTTATTAAATACATTTCTGCGTCTTAGAAAAATATGAAGAATGGTCAATTTCATGAACCAAAATGATCTCACAGACTTAAAAGCATGCCCAGCAAGCACAGCTCTGTAAGACGACATCAATGTCAAATCAAAGCAATGTGGTCACTAAAATCAACCCGCTTTCAGGTTCACAGTTGACACTACAAAGTTTATCCATTCCTTTCTCTCCTTTTTTTTTTTGTTGTTGTTTTGTTTTTTGTTGTTGTTGTGGTGGTGGTGGTTTTGGCCCATATAAAAATAACATATTGCAACTCAAAGTGCATCTTTTAAAATAAACCATCAACTATCTTTATCAAATAAAATATTTACACCATTTGGTTTCTAATGAGAAAAGCTCCTTCACGCTATCACCATGGGGACATCGTCTGAGAATCCAGTTATCATAGGAGCGTCTTCATCGTCCTCTCCTGAAGACAAAACAGCCAGGCCTTGTGAGTTCCCGAGTTTCATACAACCCCATATGCCACCACTCTGCCCTTGCCCACAGCCTTACAACAACCCCCAGCTAAACCAACACAAGTCCTAAACCCTAGCTTGGCTTTCTTATGCTCAAGGTCAGCTTCTTCCCTTCCCTAAGGGACCAAATTTAATAGTTACTTGAAGTAAAATCTGTAAGAAGGTGAATCTTATCTCCCACAGCTAAATGGGTGGTTGGTTTCTCCTACTTGGATAATCTGTCCTCTTTCTATTTTCAGTCTGAACTCTTCTGAGCAAACAGAGATTAATTGAAAGGGCTTAAGAATTTTTAGGGCAGCTTCTTCCCAGACATCATGGCTGTCCCTTTGAGACTCCTGTTACTTGGCATTTAGTGAATACTGAATGGCACCGTAACAGGCCAACCAAAAGGAGCCACCAATTCATGTCCTTGCTGATTAGCAAAACCAAAATCAGAGAAGGCAAGGGAATACAGGTGATCTTATGATCACTCGGGAGGAAACCCTGCCCTTGAGAAAGAGAAAAGCAACAACTACTAGTCTATAAGAGAAGGAAAGCCACAAACTCGGTCTGCTGCCTTGAGTGTGGGAAAGGCTTCCCACACTCACTCTCTTACGTGCCTGACTACTAGCTCGCTCAGTTTAAGGCTTGAAGTATGAGAAGACTTCTCATAGGGATTAACATATTTCTCTTCCCCTTGCTGTGCCTCAGCCCCACATAGAGTAAGAAGAGGCTGCTCTGGCAATGGAAAGAGGTGTGGCTGGCTGAAGGGCCTCACACAGAAACTGACTGGAGATGTGAACCCCTTTCATCTTGAAGCCCTCCAGAGGTCAGGTGAACATACTTGAGGATTGTTTTGAAACTCGGGGGGCATTCAAACCCAGGCCCTAACACTCTCTGTTCAAAGACTACCTTCCAGTCCTCCCCAGTTAGGGGCCAGAACTACACACTTAAATAGAATGTGCTATTCTGATTAAGGAACAAGAAAAAGCAAAGAGCCCAGACAGTGGGAACACTGGGGCGACGCCTATCTTGAAAGGATGAGGTGGAAGAATCTTTCCTGATCACATCTCTGACTTTCTAGGGTTTCCCCTGGTACCCCTGCCTACTTACCCAGGTCATCCCCAGAGGAGAAGATGGCCGAGCCCAGCCTGGAGCTGTAGTGACTGTTGGCAAAAGCGGTAAAGCTGCTCTGTAGGCGGCGGTGCTTTGTGTAGAGGATGGCAAAGCCGACACCCAGGCTCAGCAGGATCAGGAACAAGATAGGAACCACTACAGCGGCGACATCCGTAGACCTGGCAGCCTGGACTGCCGCTGTATCTCCACCTGCAAAAGCAACATTCCCTGCTAGGGAGCCTCCTCTACGTGAGGGCCAGAAGAAGACGGCTCAGGCAACTTCTCCAGACCCCATGCACGCAATAAAATAGAAAAAAAGAAGTCCAGAGTTTGCAAGGGTTCCAACACCCAGCTAGCTTTCCTTGTATAACATGTTCCAGCACATGTGTGAAGACTGATGTTTCCCAAGTACTTACCATGAGCCTGTAGACAGTGGGCCTTGCACATGCAAATACAGTAATTACATTAGACTCCTAATCACTGCCTTGTTGGTTATTTAGATAGTCTCTTAGAAGGGAGACCTTTGTTGGGACATCAACACTGATTTCATTAGCATTATTACTTAAGGCCGCTTGCTTGCCTACAGAAGAGGATGTGAAATCAGACCACTAATTAACGAGATTGCAATTATTTCCCCCTACTTGGCACCAAAGTCACTCCGCCGCTGCAATTACCTGAAGCTCCACAAATGAGATCCCTTTACTGCGACACCGACTAGACAGCTCGCCAAGCTTTATGGTTTTCCTCCCTCTCTTTCACTTAAGTAAAAAAAGAGAAACAATCTTTCCATATACATCTGACATTTTTAAAAGCTCATTACTCAGCCACTTGGCTGTCTATATTTTGCCGAAGATGCTGCCTTCCCATGGTCTTACACAAATGACGGCTTTAGAAGGCTACTGACAGAGAGGTCCTCACTGGGGCTCTGGAGAAAGGCCATCCCCCACCCTTCAACTCCACATCTGTTGGAGTTGGAGGCCATCATTTTGACAATGAGTAGAATTTTCACATTACAAACCTGGGGGCTAGTCTACACTTGGGGGCAGGAAAAGGGAGTTTGGGAATCAGTTTTCAGCAAAGGAAGCAGCGATTTCTTTGCACATAGTTTCCACAGACCTTGGAGTTGCTCCCTGGTGTAGGGCAAGATGGCATAAGGAAGCTCCTGTCTCAGAGAGAGAAAGCATCATAGCTACCCGGGGATTCCAGCAGACGCAGGACTAATCAAAATGGACCAGCGAACAGGTATTTCTTGTAGGCACAATCTAGCAATTCAGTATGCATGTCTCTAGTTAAATTTCTTTCATTTTCTGGACAGGAAAATAAAATATTTTCCAGCCTACCCCAATGGTGAGGTGGTAACTTAAAGAATTACTGCCTGGCTGGACTTCAGAGGGTGCAATACGCTTGATTCCCTGAAAGCAGCTGCCAGGGGCCTCACAACAGACAGTTTCTTCCACTGTGTATTCCACGGACTAATAACTGGTTTTGCTTAAAACCAGGGCTGATTAAGGAAAAAGCATATTATCAAGAGTTTTGCTGTTTGTTCTCTGTAGGACCTTCCCAGAGCCTTACCTATGCCACGACTCTCTAAAGGGAGGTAGAAGAAGAAAGTATTTATCCTTTGAGCCAGTGGTTCTCAGCCTTCCTAACGCTGCAACCCTTTAACACAGTTCCTCATGTTGTGGTGACCCCCAGCCATACAATTCTTTTGTGTCACTACTTCAAAATTATACATTTGCTGCCATTATGAATCCTCATGTAAATATTTTTGGAGATAGAGGTTTGCCAAAGGGGTCACAACCCACAGGTTGAGAACTACTACTCTTAAGAAACTGTTTATTCTGCATTGGCCCCATCACCCCTACAACCCAGGAAGGCCCATAAGAGAACACATAACTGTAACCCTGCCTGGTTTTTGGCTAGAGCACTGTCAAACATTTGAAAGGTACCTACAAAATCTAATGGTAAGATATTTGTTGAAATCCTGGCCAAGCTACCACAATGCAAGTACATTCCTTATAAAGCAACAATGTAGCCCAATCATGGTATCTATCTATGTGTCCCAAAAATAGAGATCCCAGGTCATGACGAAGTGCGAGCTGTATATGGTGGAATGAGCTAATCACAGGAAGAAGTCCAGGTCTATTTGTACGTTCAAGGCTCTGAGAAGTCCCATGAAAACCAACAAACAAAATTCTTGTTTGTCTAGCTTAACTGGATTTACTGAATCATGTAAGAAACTGACACATATTTCTGGGCTTGTCTGTGAGGGCCTTTTAGAGGAAACAGGTAAAGGGAAAGACCCACCTTCAATGTGGGTGACCCATCCCCATGCCTTGGGGCTTGATGTAACGGAGGAGCAGAAGGGGAGGGCTAAGGACCAACATTCTCCACTGCTGCTTCCTGATTGCTAATGCGGCCTAAGCAGCTGGCCCAGACTCCCACTGCCTTGCCTTCTCCCCCAGGACAAGATCTATCTCCTCGAACCACCAGCCAAAATAAATCCCCTACTCTCAACTTGCTTCTTGTTATATATCTGGTCACAGAAACAAGGGAAGAAAAGGAACTAATAGACCTACTGAGTTTCCTAAATATGACCTCCTTCTTGTCCTTTCCCCAACTTTACACTCAATGTGGTACCCTGAAATCCCAGTTCTTTCTGTACTAAGCCACCACGAGAAGTCTTTATTAACTACATCAGTACCAAACTAAATTGCTACCTAAATGATTTCTTAGGCACACAGGCAGTACTTGAAATGTGTTTTGGAAAGACCATCAGAAAAACACCGCCTCCCTCTCCTTCCTTGGAACAGGAGAATGACAGGACGGCCATACAACAACTCACCTGCGCTCAGTTCGTCATACAACAGCACGGCAGGCTCTCCACAGATCTGGCTGCCAAAGAGACAGCGTGCTTGGACCGTGAAGGTGTAATTATGACCCATCTTCAGGTTGGACACTTTAAAGAAATTGTCAGTAGTATTCCCGAGGTAAGCCGTGAGATTCAGAGCACTGTCAAACATGTGTATCTCATAGCCCTGCAAATGAGCACATTATGGACTGTTCAGAGGTTTGAATAAAGGGCCTGATGGTTTCTGTTACTGGCCACAGTTATTGGTGGGTCCTCATGGCAGTGTTTTATGGATGCTAATATACTTTATACTTCTTGCTAGTTCTTCTGATTATGGGATTGAGATATTAAACTCAGAAAACAGGACTTTCCCTGCTGACAAGGTGCAGAAGAGGAACTGCAAGGTATGGCTGCAGGAGAACCATTTCAACCATTGCATACTCAAAGTTATAGGCAGTGCCTCAAAGAACCTGACACTTTAGTAATACTTCACAGTAAGGAATTTGACTAGTGACACCTCCTGGTGGCAGTGGGTGCAGGCAAGACCGGGGACCAGGCAATGGGAAAAGGGAACGTGCCTCCCTGGAACAGGCTGCTGGAAGACCACCTTCATTTACTTCCTGTCTCCTAGCTTTCTGGTTCTTTCAAGGCTGATCCCAGAGTCAGGCAGCCTGATGTTGACAGAGAAGCACATAAGCAGGCTGAGGGCTCTATTCACACACGGACAGTACAAAACAATCCCTTCCCTCATTGCCTCAGGAAGTCCCAGACTGTTGTGCTAGGAAACAGGCCAGACCCAAGATGCTGGCTAGGACCAGACTGGTGGCCAGCTTCTCTGCTGCCCTCCAGGGTTCCAGTGTCAAACTCTGTCCACAACCAAGCCCACCACACAATCAACCTCTTGGTTCCTACTGCACTGACATGTCTCTAATACTAAGCCAGGAGGAGGAGAGGAGGGCACGCTACACCCGTGCCGGCACCCTCCACTAGAAATGGAATATGACCTGCAACTCTCAACCCATTTCAAATTATGTTGAATCTGCTGCCCATTCAGGCTCTCCTAGTGGCAGCTGGCTGCCAAGTTGGGCTCCCCAACACTTGCCCGGCCTCCCACCCCCTGCACTCCTTCTTACAAGCTATCTAGTGTAAATCCAATGTAGAACATCTGTAAAACGCATGAAGACAGACATGAGACAATGCACACAACCATCAACCACCTATACTTTGCCTCAGTAGTCCCCCTGCAAGGCATTTACATTTCCTCTTTTTACCATGAAGCAGAGTACATACAATTTTAATGCATTGCTTTCTCAAAGTAAAATCCTAGAAGAGCTAAATCAGGGAATGCGAACATTTCAATGTTTTCGATACGTATTATCAAAGAGCCTTCCAGAACTTTGAACCAATCTATATTCTCGGTGTCATTCCCGAGCTAGTTCTCACACTGGCATTACTGCCCCAAGGTTCTTTGAAGGCTTGATGTCTTTGTCATTAGCTTGCTAGGGTCTTTCTTTTCCTGCACGCAGTTGCCAGAATGCTTTACTGTTCAGTACCTTTCAACATTGGAGTATTCCTGGTTAGATTACATTTTCTTAAAGACATTTGCTGCATAGGTACCACAGCTATGGCAACTGTGAGGAGTCCCACAGAAGGTGAGGACTTTCAACAGGTACCTGAGCCTGGATCTCACATGACTCCCTGCTTACCCTGTTCTTCCAGGTAACCACAGCTGGATCATCACAGCCCTACTTTGCTTTCATGGGGACCAAGCCAGTTTCAATCAATAATGAGTCCACCCTCCTGGGCAAATATCTTGGCTCTCACTCTTTTCCTTCCCTCCCATGGTATCAGAGTACTGGCCCACCAATAGCGAAACAAAGGTATTTTTTTCATCAGCCAACCAAGTATCTTCATGTACTTCTTGCTCCTCCTAACCACTCTGAAGAAACGATGACAAGGTACTAGATTAAGAGCTTGGCTCAGCTTCCTGGCACTCTGGGACCACAACCTAGCTGTCAAAGGGCCGTGCAAGGGTGGAGCACTTGGTTCCCATGCTGAGCACACTCTAGTTGCAGGGAGCACCACAAGTCTCAGCCCATTTCCTTTCCAAGGACAAGTGCGTGGCCGTGGGTGCTGAGTGCAGAGATCGCGCACTGCGTGGGCGGCACAGACATCTCTCTAATCAGCAAATGGTCCTTTCGCTCTCGAGTTCACGCCCATGCCTGACGCTTTCCTTCCTTCCTTCTTCAAGCTGTCTGCCAGCCTGCTGTTAATGAACTCATGTCTAAAACAGTATGCCAACAAGAGTTCCAAAGTCTCTGAGGACACACGAGGAACTTACCCGGGTTTCACTGAACTGCTTTTCCTTCAAAGCTAGGCTTTTCCAAAAGAGAAGAACGTGGTCATTTTCTGTTATGATTTTTAAGGCGTCAGGTGCTGACAGTGAAACTGAAAACGGAAGATTAGGCCATTTGCAGTTAGTACACACGTATCATGCACTGCCAGCCTAAATGTGCCTGGACCCCACTACTGCAACTGTTGACACCGCTTACTGCTATCTAGGTTGCTGAGTTAGTGACTCAGCATGGAACAGGAGCCTAGCCAACCCTCCAGCCAACAGCCTTATTATCGGTCTCCCTGCGTTCTATCTGCCTGAACAACAGGAGGGCCGCTGTGACACCATCCAGGTCCTCGTTTTAAGGCCTGGCCTCACTGGGAAGTACTTTTTGGTTTCTTGACTCTCTTGAGCATTCCTCCTTTCCTCCCCTGGTCATGGTAGGACACACTAAGGGAGGGTAGTGTGAAACGAGACTCAGAGAGAGTGGATATGGCTCAGTGGTAGAGTGCTTGCCTAGTAGTCAACACACACTGAGTTCAAGCCCTCAAATTGCAATATATGTCTTGGCCCTTCACCAAAGCCTAAGAACTCCCCCCCCCCTCCACACACACACACACACACACACACACACACATTCAAGCTTGGTCTGCTGTAGCACAGGCAGAGAAGAACAATGCTTGCGGTTTCTACAAAGGTACTCCAGCCTTCCTCTGTGCCGAGGTCTGCAGCTACAAGGTTAGTTGCTCAGTGTGCAGCAAGGCCTCTCTTACTCCCTACTGACCTGTGGTGATTTTTATGCTGGAATCCTTGCTCATGTTCCCCAGCTGGACAACAATATGGTATTTTCCACCAGGTTCCAGCTTGTTAAGGCTGTACTCCACAGTACTGTTGCGAGACTTGACTTTGTAGCTCCTGTCGGTCTTCCTGATAAGATCTTTCACGGCAATTGCGTAGAACTAAGACAGAAGGAGGAAGGAGGATCTGAGTAGCAGCCGGATACAAGGTCTTTTACTTGAAATCAGCTATTGATTATGAACAGTACCTTATACAATGCAAATGCCCTTGTTTCAGTTGCTGTTCTATTGCTTTGAAGAGATACCGTGGCCAAGGCCACTCTTATGAAAGAAAGCATTTAATGGGAGCCTTGCTTACAGTTTCAGAGGTTAGTCCATTATCGCCATGGCACGGAGCACTAGCTGAGAGCTTTGCATCCTGATCCACAGAGAAAGAGAGAGCCTGGGCCTGAAGTGGCTTTCGACACCTCAAAGTTCACCTGCAGTGACACACTTCCTCCAACAAGGTCACACCTACTCCAATAAGGCTACACCTCATCCTTCTAATCCTTTCAAACGGTTCCACTCTCTGATGGCTGAGCATTCAAACACATGAGACTATGGGGGTCATCTTTGTTCAAACCACCCTAGCCATGTAACAGTTAGCATACCGCCTTGTTCAGGGAGTAATGACAAGAGACAATGTGTGTGCATGCTCCATACAGACATGATCCTTTTTCAGATGCGTTCAATGTGGTTGAATAAACAGGGATAGAACTCAGGCTCAGGGCTGACTTTTCTGAGCCTCACAGTCTGACTCATGCGCTTCAGAAAGTCTTTGGGGTAGCCAGGATCTATCTTATAATGAGTATACATTTCCAGAACTGCAAACAAAATTATTAGCTAAATAAAGGATGGGAAGGGAAGGGGAAGAAAAAAGGGAAGGGGGAGGAGAGGAGAAGAAAAGAGAGAAAGAGGAAACAGGGATGCAAAAAAGGGAAAGGAGGGAAGGAAAACTAGAGGAGGAAATCAAAATATGCTAGAAAAAGCCACATTAATTGTGACATCAGCAGCTAAGCTTCTGTCTCTCCATCATAACAACAGTTTATAGACACTGACAGAGAGGACCATGGATGAACATGCTCAGTCCCCATGACAACAATTTCTGGACACTGATACTGACAGAAGGAAAACATGGATGAGGATGTTCAACATCCACAACAGTTTCTGGACACTGACAGAGAGGACCATGGATAAAGATGCTCAACCCCCATGACAGCAATTTCTGAACATTGATAGAGAGGACCATGGATGAAGATGCTCAACCCCCATGACAACAATTTCTGCACATTGACAGAGAGGACTATGGATGAAGATGCTCAACCCCCATGACAACCGTCTCTGCATACTGATATTGACAGAGGGACAACATGTATGAAGATGCTCAACCCCGGCTCTAAGGTACAAGCAGCCCCACCTGCTCTCTCCCAGGCTTCTGCGTATTTGGGAGTGTGGAAGGAAGGGGACACATTGGACAAACAGGAAACTCGATCACCAGGGAGAACCTGAGAATCAGAGGTGTCTCAGCAGCTAAGAAGAAACCACACTGCTGAGGTGTAGGGGTGAGGGTCAAAGCAGTCCAGAACAAGGAAGAATGGGGTACTTCTAGGATCAATGTCCTATCCTATTTTTTCTAAAAAGGGATAGAAAACTCTGAAAGAGTCAAAATATAGATATTTTAGGCTTTGAGGGTCTTAGGATCTCAACCACAAAAAATTCTATCGCTAGTGGCACAAAAACAGACATAGGCCATACATACACTGATGGGTGTGGCACTGGTTCCAATTAAACATTGGTTTTTAAAAAATAATCCACAGGCTGGATTTGGCCTGCTGCACTCTGGTTAATGGAGGGGGTGGGGCTAGCTGAGGAAGGACAAAGAAATATGGTGTCGTGAACAATGAAGGAATGCCAACTCAGAAGGGAATCTGTCTTTGACCACACAGAAATGGGGACAAGGCTTTCCGAGCTCAACTAGTACCTGTGTCACTTGTCACACTACCTGACCCCCTCCACTGCACTCCACTTCCCCAAAGCCTGCTAAGCACAAGCATGGCGGGCTGCATGCCTTTCCACTCACCAAGTCCTGGTCCGGAGAGTCGTAGGGCGATTCCCACTTGATGATGGCTGAGGTCTTGCCTACTTGGACTGCATGCAGGTGACGAGGTGGAAGCCTGCTGTCTGGGATCATCTTCACGACGACGTAGTCAGAAGATGGCCCTTGGTAAGGGATCAACACCCGGACCTAGGGGCCAAGCACAACACAGCAAAACAATACCTCACAGGCTCATGTAACCTCTGCCAAACTACTTTTCAATAAGCTAATGACACATGACCACAATTAAAATTCAGCTAGCACAAAATAAAATAAAATAGTTCCCTGCCTGATCAAGACTGTTTTTGTGTTTTGGCTTCCATTCAGAAATGCCCTAGACATATGTAAGCATAGACACATGATATATAAATACATGCACACACATATGTGTATGTGATACATGTGTGTGTATGTACAGCCTATCTTTTAAAAATCTTTTTCACATCACCATACTTCCCCTCATAAAAATTAATAATGGGATCAGATTTTTTTCCTTCATGGGTACACTTGGCACTGCCTTCTTTTGGACAGTTCTTTATTCTACTTCATAGATAAGCCATAATTTATGTTATCAATCTTTCCATGAAAGATTTAGGTTATATCAAATCTTCTGTTCTCACAAGTAATACTGGCCTAGATGCTGCCCACTACTTTTGTAGTTTGTTTGTTTTGGTCAACTTGACACAACCAGAGTCATCTGGGAGGAGAGAACCTCAGTGGAGGAACTGCCTCCTTCATTTAACTTATAGGAAAGTCTGTGGGGCACTTTCTTGATCGATGATTGATGTGGTAAGGCCTAGCCCATTGTGGGTGATCCACCCCAGGCAGGTGGTCCTGAGTTATATGAGAAAGCAGTCTAAGCTATCTGCCAAGTGAGTGTTCCACCTCTGAGCTGCATCTCGGAAACTGGTTGTGGGGACTTACAAAGAAGACGAATCTAGGTTCCCAAGTCACCCATTCTACTAGAGTTGAGCTCAGGAGCCCCAATGCTTAAGAAACCTCCTTTAAATAGAGGCGCTTCTGTCTCCCTGGTGCAGAAAGCTTACCAGAAACAAATACTGCTCATCCTTGTTGACAATGACTGTCTTATTGTGGAGTGGAGTGGTTAAGCTCTTGGGGTTTCGGTAGAGGTCAAGGAAGGACGTGGCATAGAAAATGCCATAAACCTGGTAAAGGCAGAGAAGGGAAAAAGCTATCAGCTGATGGGTCAGTGCCCTCCTGTTTTGAAATTGCTGACTTGAGACCTTGGAAGTGCTCCTAAAGCACCCGGAAACATCTTCCTTCATCCTTCATTGTGGTGATCGCGCTTTGGAAGAAGAGTGCCGTGTGTGTGTGTGTGTGTGTGTGTGTGTGTGTGTGTACACGTGTGTGCACACCTGCAAAGGGGAGCATGAGCAGCTCCTGTTTGCACAGGGCTTTTTCTTGGGGAAGGATGGACAGGGAAGGAAAAAAGGAAAACTCTGCCATGAGAGCAAAAGAGAAGCGCTGGCTGCCATTCCAAGCACTGTATAAAGGGTCAGGGGGAAAAGGGCTTACAGAAGAAGGGTGACATTACACAATCAAACAGCAGTGACAGGGAGCCGAACTGTGACTGAGGGGTCAGCAGCTATGGTCGGAACTGTCAAGTGAGTGTGGGAATCTCACCAGCTGTGGAATGGACACAGGAGGATAGGTGGGGCCAGCTTCGACCTCCCAGATTTCCTTTAGTGGAAGAAGTCTACATTCCCTACCACCATGGAAGCTGGAAGAGCCAGTAACAAGGTGTTGGCCAATGAGATGCCAGCAGGTATCAGTCAATGAGATGTAAACAGAAGCGCCCAGTGGGATGGCCCAGCAGGCTCTTTTAAAAGCAGGACAGTCTATCTTCCTGCCCTCCTGCAGCCTGGCATTCAGACAATAACTGCAGCTCCAGCAGGATGTCCGCCCAGAAGATGACCTTAAAGACGCACACCACCGGCTAGAGATGGCAAGGCCTGTGTCCTCTCCAGGGTGAACGTGTGTTGCTGCAATAGAGGAGGCCCTGGACTTCACTTGGCCAAGGGTATGTTTAAAGCACAATCTATGGGTCCATGTAGGATGCTGAGGGGATCTCAAACCAGGGAAGTGGACTAAGCATACAGCAAGGAATGGCAGCTGAGTGAGTTCATATGGGAAGGAACAGCTGGAGAAGATAAAGAAGGATGAGAATACTTCCTCCCCAGAGTATATGTGCAGGAGGCCAGGTATCTGCAGAAAAAGGCTACACATCTGCAGGCACCCTGGGCAAAGAGAGGGGGCTACCTGGGGATGTCAATGTCCCAGCAACAGCATCACTTCCTGTAACTCTGCTCAGAAGACGGTCTGGAGAGGAGGAGTCTGGACAACAAAAGGGGAAAGTGGCTTCCCAGGGGTCAGTTAACAGGGAAGAGGTGGGAAGAGAGACATTGAGGGGATCCAAGGTGGGAAAGCAAATGCATATGGGATGAAAGACAGGAACAAGGGAGTCACAAGGCTTAAATGGAGCCTTGGTCCCAATAGGAGCTTGGTGCTCAGAAGTAAGATTATCTCGGGCCCAGTCCGTGGTACATGGGGTGGGGTCGCTAGTGGGATGGAGTCGCTAGTGATGAGAAAGGGCTCCCAGAGCCCATGGGAGTCAGGAGATTAGAAGAGCCCCTCATTGATGGTGAAGAAGCCGACCATGAGTGCTGCCAGGGTACTCAGTGAAGAGACAGGAGCAGGTGACGGTCACCCACTTTGGGCCTCATTTGACTCATCACATATGAAAGCTGGCTGTGTGTGACCAGCGAAGGCACAGGCCAAGGCGCGGCAGAAGCAAGGCTGCTTCTCCAGACTGGCATGCAAAGAGAAGCTCTACTGTTGCGCAGACTCCACCTTTCTCTGAAGGACCCCTTGGCGAGACAGGTGCGCCTGCGCCAAGTTGAGCCTATTGGTAATCAAGTCTCCTTGTGGGTCTGTGTACTTTCCTTCAAGGTCAAAGGGAGTGCGAAGGAGGGCTCGGGCTTTTGTCTCTGTCTCTTGCTCAGCATCACATTGTGGAGCGTGCAAAAGAATAGAACTATATTAAATTTAAAAATTCAATCAAGCTCACCACCCAGAATGAGTTCCTTATCGTGTGAATCCAGCACTCCACACGCATGGTCTACAATGACAAACATCAGGGAGCTATCTCTGAGGCCAGCAGAGCGAGGTCAGGCATGCAGGGGCTGGCTCGGATGCCAGGTCCCTTCAGAAAGTAATCCTGAGCTGGTGGGTGACTTGTGTTTGGGGAAAGCAAAGAGGCAAAAGCAACAACAGGAAAGAAAGAAAGTCCCATGGCTGTCCAGGGGATTATATTTAGGGAGGTCCAGACCACCTTGGGATGGTTGTTCTTGTCCACTTACCACATTCTTGGGGCCGGTCCACACACACTCTACAGCAGTCTGGTTGATGGCCTTGGCTTTGAGACTCGGAGCAGGTGGACGGATGCCTCTGGTCAAGACATGCTCAAACGCCAGAGGACTATCCCCCAAGTCTGTCTTGGCCCAGGCGGAAATCTCATAGGACGTGTGAGCTGTCAGATTGCTAACTGTGAAAAGAAGGAAGGAGAATGCCAGGGATGTGTATATGTGAGGTGTGAGTGTGTGTGTATGTGAGTGTGTGTGTGTGTGTGTGTGTGTGTGTGTGTGTGTGTGATATGTATGGGGAGGTAACAGTCAAGAATTTGTTTGGGTTCACACACCGTACTTTTCAATAGTTTGCAAATTCATTTAATATTTTCCTGGTATAGCACATGTAACTCTTAGAGACTGGGTAACTTCTAAAGCTGACTGTGTGGAAGTACAATTGGCAAAACAGTCCTGCAGTCACAACCTGAGTTATATGGCATATGAAAAAAGAGGGCTATGGCCTAGTCCAGTTGCAGAGAGTTTCCTAGCATGCACAAGGCCCAGGGTTCAATCCCCAGCATGGACAAAAGGGAACAATAATAAAAGATGATGATGACAGTGACGACGGCAACACACCTGGGCTTTCTGTTTCCTAAGACTACCTAGGGACTGAAACAACGACAGACTGTCCTTTTCAAACCGGCCAGAGGGCGAGGAAAGGAGGACGCTCCCAAGCCACTCACAGCACTCACAAGCAGCTCTTGACATTAAGGTTTTCCTCTTAGAAATACATTAGCATCTTCCCATGAGACCATCTTCAGATAAAAGAATTGTAATGGAGCTCAGTATTTGCACGGACCTAAGTGAGGACTGGACCACCTCCTCTTTTCATCTGTTTGCTCTTCTGTGCAGTTGACAGATCTCTCCTGAATGCCAATACACACCAGGCCTCGTCCTACCTCTTATTAGCTGAAGGAGGGAAAAACTAGAAAAAATGCAGGTAATGGAATCTGGACGGATTCCTACATAGGGCAAAATCATTCCAGGAGTTAAACCGACTCCTTACGGTTCCTCCACCTCTCTTACCCCAGCTTCTTTTGAGGGCCACTGGGTTTAGAAGGAGGTTCAAGGAGCCAGCAAGCTAACACTCTTTGCCTGGAGTTAGGAGGATGTAGACAACATCCTCAAAGGGCAAGGACTGTCCATGTACAACCACCCGTAGAAAGGACCCCGCTCATTCCCAGTCTCCCATCCCCGCCCTAAACACAATCTCTGCCCCCAGGAAGGCACTGATCTGACTCTCTGCCCATCCTGCTTACAGACCAGCGACCAGCGCAGGTCCAAGGTGTTACCTTTGTGTGACAATGAGCTTCCTTGGAAATTCAAGGTTTTCTTCTCTTGTTTGTGGGCATCAAATGACCAGAAAAGGTTCACCACATAGCCATTGACCTGCCAAGAACCAGGAAGCATGTGACATGATCAGTTGACACAGTCAGGGGACACGCTTATACACCAGGTAGAGATGGTCTAATTTGCTGTCTCCTCATGTCTTTCAATGGAAAGTGTCTCTTCTGATTTTTCATCAGCTTTTGTTTGTGTGGCCATTAAATACATTTAGTTATTTATAGTAAGGGGCAGGTAAGAGGAACACCTCAGCTCAGGCTGTCTTCTTAGTCAAGGCCAAAAGGTCAGCACTACCTTCTCCGAGAGTTCTCCATTAGCACAGATTTTGAGCTAAAAACCGTCAAAAGTAGGACAGCAAGAAAGAAAATGCCTTCATGACCAACGTTATCAACAAAGGCCCACACTAAGTCACCTCTTCTATTGCTCCTCTTTGAAGCTAAGAACACAGTATTACATGCACTTAAGTGAATGCCACAAGGACCCTGAAGACCCACCCTGCCACAACATCACAGATGGAAAGGGATGGGATGAGAAACCAGAAGATGGGAAACAAAATTATGGAAGTGGATTTCAATTTGAAAGAACACAGGGACAGATAAGCGGGCTATGCAGACAGGGGCTCAGAGGGACCCGCGGTGGAAGACGAGGAGTGACTGGGTGGACATAAGAGATACACAGCAGATGGGTTTCCGAGGCATCTGATTCTCCCAAGAAGCTCGCTCTACCACAATGGGAACTTCTACATTAGCCCCGAGTACCAGGAAATCCAATAAAGCTGAAAATTACAGGGCACACATATTCTGTTCACACCAAGTCTTTTTGTGCACTGGAGCTGTGAACCATTTAATTATATGGTTAAAGAAGAAAGGCACCAGGCTGAGGCGGAATAATTACATGTGGAGACTCGAGTTGTTCCTCGTGGGGGAAGGAAACAACCCAGGTCTGGTATTTCAGCTCCACTAGAGCAGGCCCTTCATTGCTCCTAATCTCCCTGCCCTAGGATACATGAGTTCCCACATAAAAGAGAGCCCCACCCAGCTGCCAGTCTGAGAACTCCTCGTTACCTTGATGTCACCGTTCATGGTTAGGGTAAAGCTCAGAGAATTTTCATCGTAGCTGTCAATGCGGATATTCGGGGCTTGGATCACTGAAAAGAAAATGGAGTCAAAGAGAAACCAACACCGTGGAAAGTGAGGAAGGCGGGACCTCACAGCTTTCATCTCAACGTGGCCTTTCAGCCAGGTAACAAAGGGCACAGTGACAGCCTTAATGCAGCCATCTCTCCTACCACCGTTTCCCTGACCGAGGCCGGACTCACACGGTCTTGGAGAGCTGGTCAGTTGGCCTGGCAATGAGGTTGAACAGAAACATTCCACTGTGCCAATGTCCCCACACGGCCCAGCTTCGGCCTGGCTCTTGAAGAGTCAGGACCCCTGTGAACAATGTCTTTATGAGGAAGAAAAAAGTTCCAGCTTCCTCGTGACCAACTGAAGGACAGGACTTCATGAAAGAAAAACTAAGTTGAAAATGTGTGTGCTGTGGGAAGTTAGGTGGCTTCTGGAATTCGGCAAACGTGAGTTCTTGATTCCTAACACCTGATAACTGTCAAGCCAGGAGCAAGTCTCTTATCGTCATGGCACTTGGAGTAGGAAAGGTAAGGGCCAACCAAGCGCACAACTACTGTTCCCTTCCTTTCCTTTTCAGAAAAGTCTTGCTTAAAGAGCGAGTACATTCCAACAGCTAGGAGCTGACACTGACCTCTGAGGGCACAAGGAGAGCATGGTCAAGAGAAAAACCCCTGTGAGCTCCGGACGAGCAGCAGCGCAGCAGCTAGAACGTCTGCCCACGAGAAAGGCGACAGTGTTGAGCCTAGTGTCATCTAAAGGAGTCCCGGAATCCAGCATGATCAGACAACACCACTTAAGTGACAACTGGGTTTTAACTCTCAGGACACAGCCCTTCTAAAGGCAAGGCAAGGGCGTTTGGGTAAAAGACATGTTGAAATCCAGAGCGGCCCCATTAGATGCTCAAAAATGTTATAAAACCAGACTGGAGAAAAAAAACAAGACCAAAAGAAAGGCTCTGAGAAGCTTCAGGTGGCCAACTGAGAGCCAGATAGTGCTTGGTGCTAAGGGAAAGTTTGGACTACAGTGGTGACCATGGACAGCTCACGACTCCCCAGAGTCCAGTTGCCTCAACTACAAAATGAGGACAATAATACTTCAGTCATGGGATTCACATAAATGGAAATCACAGTGTGTGGTGCACAAGAAGCACCCCATGCCCAGTGGCCCTTCTCACTGGAGCCGGCATCAAGCTGCCGCCTTCATCACGAGTGAATCTGGCTGCCACCACTGCTGTCTTCGTCCTTTATCTTTCTTCCAAAGTCACTAAGACCCCAGGTCACAGATGCTCCATGAGCTACCCTCTGCACATAGCCTGACCAAACCACGCGAGGAAAGCTGAGGCTTGGCAAAATCATGGGGAAGAGAACGAAGGAAACTAAAACTCAGGGTAATTTTCAAATGCAGACTTGACTTGTACCTGCTGAATTCGGGAACAAGGTGGCCTTCCAAAGTTCCTCCTTTTTATATTTGAATGGTCAGTATACTTTGGCCCAGATTTTTGTAGAAAGTAATAACAAGACAATAGGACTCAAGGAGAGTGAATTCAGCACAACCTCTTTACCACCCGCCAGCAGACTGCCCACTGACTGGTGGGCGGCATTAACTCTGACTGCCTCCTACCCTGATTGCCACAATTGAGTTTAGAGTAACTGAAATGAATCTCTTATCACCGAGAGCTTCTCACAGGCTCAGATGAAAGTAGAATCACCCAATCACATCCCACGCGACAGAGATCAATTGGTTTTAATATCTGTCGGGCCATGGGGTGAAGGTCTCCAGGACCAGAGCAGAGGAAACCACTCAGGACAACGGGCTTCCATCCACTGTTCAGTAGGTACCAGAATCCTTCATTCAGATACTTCAATTTACTTGCCCTCCATCTGAGCTTTTAGTTCTCATTAGATACCAAGGATAAAGTAAAGCAAACAGCAAAGATCTTAGCCCCAAGAGGCACCCGTGAAGGATGTATAGCAGCCTCTTGATAGGCAGAGCAGCCCAGTACAAGGATCTGAGCCCAGGAGAGGTGTGCGTCAGGATGGGTAAGAGCACAGGCTTTGGAGTCAGGGGTGTGAGGTTCGAGTCCCAACTTTGTCATTTGTTCTAGGACAAACAACATACCGCTTTCCCCTCCTTTGTCTTGCAGCTATTATGAGGGACCAGTAAGATAAGTTCACGTGTGCAGAGCACTGAATTACAAGCACCAAGGGTCAGCTCTGGTGCTATGTACCATCCCTAACCCTGACATGCTTGTCAGTGTAACCAAGGGAGAGGTGCACAGACATCAGTGAGGTGCCTTAAGAATGTGCGTGCAAACCACGCCCAGCTTTAGTGTAAAGAGACTCCTTCTATTTCAGAAGCTGCACAAGCTCACAATGGGACTGGCATAATGACCGTTGGAAATCAATGCTTGGAAGAAGAATATACTTAGTGGCTGCCCAAAAAGACTCAGTGTCTTTGTGATGCCAAAGTGTGCCTGTGCTGGGGCAGGGGAGGCTCGGAGAAGCTTTCTTACCTATGCTTCTCCGCTCCAAAGAGCTTCCATCATCTCTAAACCAGCAAGCGCCCAAGTCACTCACCTTTGCCTTTTGTGGTGGTGATGGATTTAGAATCACTCCAGTTTCCTATCCCACGACTTGTCACTGCTGCCACCTTTTCCAATCAGAGTGTGAGTTAATAGGAAATAAAAGTAACATACCACACAGTAAGAATGGTAAGGCTTCAGCAGTGAAGGCAAAAAGAAATGTATCAACAGAGTGACCCAGGACATTCAGAGACCCCAGCAAATGCAATAAGAGAACAAAAAAAAAAAATTGCAACAGTCCTAAGAATATAAAATTTCTATTGATCCTATTGATACCCATATTCTTCTAAAGGGCAGGTGTGTGTGTGTCTAAGCTCTATATCTGTATATAATGACACATATATACAATGAATATACACATACACACATATACATACATAATATATATACACATATGTAAAAGGAATCATAGAGAAATTATTAAAATTGTAAGTATAAGGGAATCTTCAGAAGATGTGTCTTAATGGCTTTAATAAACACCCTCTGCACAACACTATCTCCTTTCTGGCAAATATATTAATACTGCATTTCATAAGAGCCTCATGAAATTGGTTTATAAATGCCACTTAGCACTGTAGCTCCTGCAGCTAATGACAAGTAGAACAGAGGTGAGCACAGAAGGACAGACCCCAGAAGCACCAGAGTGTCCCGTTAGAAGCAGGGAGATCTGCACCACTGCGAGTTATTGGTGATCTGGGGCGGAAGCTGAACTTCCTCTTTAAGACAAGGCACTGGATGTTTCGAAGAACACTAATACTCATTCCTTAAACATAAGCACAAGGATGACAAGCAGGAGCCAGCTCTCTGCATTCTAAGACCAGCCAGTAGCTGGAGAGGATGTAGACACTCACTCTGATGGTATAGAGGGCATTGAGCAGTAAGTTCTTTATTTCTGTAGAGTTGCTAGCGGCTCTCTGGGAAGCCCACATCTTGGAACCACTCCTGCTGTATTCCACCTGCAAAGAGAAGCTCAGCTGAGTAGAGAGTAACCAGAGGTCGGCCCATTTAACGCCTTGCAAAGATGCACGTGGGGAAAGATGGGGCGCTGGGATGGCTAGCGTTAACTGTCATCTTGAGGGGATCTAGAGTCCGCTGGGAGATGAGGCTGTGGGTTTCCCTGTGTGTGATGATCTGATTAGGTTAACTGGGGTGTAGATAGCACACCATTTCCCTGGGCTGCATGCTGTATAAATGGGTGCTGAACACAGGCACCCTTTGCTGCCGCCTGACTTTGCATGCAATAGGACCAGCCATGTCAGCTCTTATGGCCTGCATTCCCTGCCATTGTGGACTGCACCCTTGGACCGCAAGCAAACCTGTGTCCCTTTGTTGCCTTTGTTGGAATATTTTATCGCAGCGACAGAAAAAGGAAGTTGGATTGATGTGCAGCGTCCTAACAGATGGACCATTATCCACAACACCAAATCACCTCCTGGGGACACAGAGCGCCCAGAAACTCTAGCTCTCTGACACCCAATGTCTGGACAGTACTTACAATGTACTCACGGATGAGGCCATGGGTATGGATGGGAGGAGCCCAATGCCCAATGATCACACCTTCCTCTTCATTGTTGAGTGACAGCTGGAGGTTCTGAGGAGCGTCTGGCACTAGAAAATGGTCAAGTCAGAAGTCAAGTTCTCCCTGCATTCAAATCATTTGATCGTATGCATTAAAAAAAAAAGACTCCAAGAGGCAGTTGGGACTGAGATACGAATTCAGTAAAAAATTAAATGGAATAAGAATCAACAGATAAATAAAATAAACCTATACCCCAGTAAACCAAGTCGTTTAAAAGAAATCCTGCTTAAAATTATCCTCAAATATGCTAAAAATAATTTAACCAAGAAGATAATTGATTTCTACAATGAAAAATTTAAAACACAGGTGAGAGAGGTTGACAAGAACACCAGAAAATGGACAGGAAGAACTCGTATCATCAACACAGTCTGTTACCTAAAGCAATCCACATATTCAGGGTGATCCCTGCTAGAATAGCGATTAACATTCTCCACAGAAATAGAGAAAAGCACTCTTAATTAAAAAGGAGGCACAGGAGAGGTGGCAGAAAGATTGCGAGAGCCAGAGGAGATAGTGGACATCAAGGCCTTCTAAACACAGCAGGGCTGACACACATATGAACGGACTCACAGGGATCGTGCAGTGAGCACAGGGCTTCACGGGTCTGCACCAGCACTGAGAGAAGCTTACTCAGGCCCCATTCTTAACCCATCAGTCATCGCCAACTGATAATCTCTCACAAATGACAAAGTGATACATCAAACAGAGTATACAGACCAGCCTGGAGGCCAGGCCCGATGCCCAGGAAAGATGGCAACACAAAACGAACGCTGTGCCACTTGTGGAGGGTCTTTGTCCCATAATGCTTTCTCGGGGCTTTGTTCCTTTTCCCCCACCAGTCTTTACACAGGCAGTACAGTTTCCAATTTTGGATTTTATGGGATTTCTGTGTGTGTGAATGTATGTGTCTCTGTGTCTATATGTGTTTTTGTGCTTATTTACTTATTGGCTTTCTTTTTCAGTTTGATTTGTCTTATTCTGGTTTGGTATTTTATGCTATGTGATCACCTTAAAGCAGACTCCTTTCTGAGTTTGGTGACGGCACATTCAAATGCTCTGGCAGTGGGGAAAATGACTAGAAGAAGCAGCCCTGTGCCAGCTGCTCTGAAGGGAGGGGCAGGGGGAAGCCCACCTACAACTTAAGCTTTAAAAACTTAGCCACTTGGTAAGTTCTTTAAAACTTAGCCACAAAATACCGACATGCCTCATATTTAAGTGGCAAGGGCAGCTGAAGGGTTAGGTACCAGGAACTACCCAGAAAAGGAAAATAGAAGCAGAAACTAGACAAGAGATACAAAACAAAACAAACAAACAAACAAAAACCAAAGTAGAAAGCTCCTGGAACTAAAGGGTAAGACATTCTGGGGCATGGCAAGGACGATGAACTTCAGCACCTCAGGTCAGCACTTCCACACAGGCAAGGGCCAGGCACACTCCTTACACATGTAAAGTGTGGATAGCATATCCTCAGACCACAGCACCCTTAAAACGGCTCACTGGGTAAAGTGCTTCCTGCACAGGCCTGAGGACCTGAGTTCAGATCTGCTCCCCCCCCCCCCAGCACCCATGTAAAGGCTGGACGTGGTGGCAAGTGTCTGTAGCCAGGCAGCCTCGCCCAGTGAGCTCCATGCTCGGGGGGGGGGGGGGGGAGACCCTATCTCAGAAACTAAGAAGGAAAGCATGGCAGATATCCAGCCGTGGCCTCCGGTCTCCACATAAGCATACAAGGTGTATACACACGTGGATATGCGTATCCTACCCCCACCAACGATACGAACTTTAAAAATACACTATAGTATAGACTATAACCTGGTGTGATGGGAGGGTCTCGGGATAAACTTAAAAATGGACTCAGGGTGTAGTTCAGGGATAGAGTTCAGATATATATGTCGGGCCCTGGGCTCAACCTCCAGGATCGCACGCGCGCACACACACACACACACACACACACACACACACGTGTCAGCTATAATACTTACAGCCCTCTGGTGTCCTCAGGGTCACAAAGTCATTGGTGTTGTGCACCTTGCTGAGGCAGTGAACCTGGACTTTAACATGATACGTGGTATCGGGCTTCAAGACTTTGAGTACCGTGCTTGTTTTATTGCTGTGAGTTTCCAGGGTCTTCCATATGCTCTCTCCAACCACCCTGACCAACACAAGGAAGACACTGTCACAGAGAGGCAGCGTGGGTGACAGTGCTGCATGAGCCAGCCAAAGAGAAGCTCTCCATGACCTCACAGGAGAGTGCACAGGGCATCCCAAGCCGAAGGCGGCTGTGGCTAAATCGGGACCCACCTGTAGTAGACATTGTACACGCAAGAAGCCGAGGGCATTTTTTTGGGTCGCATCCAGGTCAAAGTCACATCCCCGGAGAAGTCAGCTGTCCACTGGAGATTCTGTACTTTGTATACAGTTAACTCATCTACAGAGGTACAGAGAGTGAGGAATCAAAGTTCTATCTTATGAATCCTTGAATTTCAAAGAACTCCTCTGAGGTAGAACCACCACGGTCTAAATTGTTAAGAGGATGCAATCATTATATGAAAAGATATCCCAGGAAATATGACTGCAACCCCATATTACCTTTCCTAAGCTTTCCTAAATTTCCCAAGATATTTACTTATGCATTTTATCTCCCCCATGCCTGATGTGTTTAAAACTGATTCTCGGTAGGAGATGCAGCAAGCCGAAGGATGGCATGAACTCTAGACAGCAGGACTGAGCTAACCCCGCCTGCGGCACCAGGCTCTGTGAGTGCAATGGCAGGAACATCAGCAAGAGGACAGATCATGGGGACTTTCAGGGAGGCCTTTCACTGCTGGGGAAGAGCTGGCTGCACGGTGCATCAAACTTGGACCATACCTCCTCAGGTGGCACTCCCAGGTTGAGCATGTTTTTAAGGGGAGACAAAGTCCCTAAGGTCCTAGCTAGAGGCCCCCAGGGTAACCGGAGGTGTGGCTGTCACTTACCACTGCAGCCCTTCTCGTCGCTCTCATCTGAGCAGTCCAGGAAGCCATCGCAGCGCTCAGAGAGCACAATGCAGGCCTCTCCATCATCACACTTGAACTCCCTACTCATACAGGTCAAGGTGCTGTGGGTGGCTGAAACAGAAAGGATATGCGGTGGGGTGCGGCTGCGCCCAGGCTCGCCACATTTAAGACAAGTCGGCTGGTTTCTTTAAACCTAAATTCTCTGGAAGGAAGTGGAATGATGCTAGCCACGTACAATGTGGACAGAGTTTCAACTACTACAGCCTTGCCTCTAACTGAGGATGACTTTGGATTTCTGATCCTCCTGTCTCCATCTCCTAAGTGCTAAGACTACAGACCTGTATAACTGTGCCCCGGTTTGTGCACTGTTGGGGATCAAACCAATGGCTTTGTGCATGCAAGATGTGCTGACACGTGTTTTATGGCTACTTTACAGAAGCTAGAATCATTTTGGAAGAAAGACCTTAATTGAGAAAATGTTGTCATCAGATTGGCCTGTGGGAAAGTTTGTGCTGCATTTTATTGATGACTGATGTGGGAGGGGCCAGCTCACCATAAGCAGTGCCACCCCTGGCCTTGTGTCCCAGGCACTGTAAGAAAGCAGGCTAAGCGAGTTAGTAAGCAGCATTCCCCCGTGGCTTCTGTTTCATTTCCTGCTACTAGGTTCCTTCCTGCTACCAGGCTCCTCCCTGCTCGAGTTCCTGCCCTGACTCCCTCTGATGATGGATGGTGATGTGGAATTGTATGCTGAAATAAACCCTTCCCTTCCCAAGCTGCTTTAGTCTCGGTATTTATCACATCAGTAGAGGCCATAACTAACATACCAGCCAAGTAGACAAGTACTCTACCAACTGAACTCCATCCCCAGCCCAGACAAAGGTTGAAAGCCTTATTCAGTGTGATCTCATGCACTCCCAAAGTTCAAGATCACTCTGGAAGGCTGGGTGATAATCCCACAGCTACCTAGGTGTGAGGATCTAAAGACCTCAAGTACCTGCAAGGGGTTCTGTCCTTGACCAGCACTGATAAATCATAGCTATTCCCCTGCACCGACTATTGTTATGTTCCTAGGATTTACTGGTTTGCAATCTAGGAAAAAGCTATATTTTCCAGGTTGGGCAATAGAAATAATTGGATGAATAGGAATAATGTGAAGAGGCAAGCATGCTCATGTGGCACTCTTAACCGCATGAGTGTCTGAAGTATTCTCATAAGAGAATGGAGGGATAAGCTAAGAGTTATGTGACTCAATTCAGAGAGGGTTATTAGCCAAAGGTACATGATCTCCATTTTAGAGGAGGGGTCAAAAATGGGCTGGTGACAATGTCATTGAAAAAGACCCTAAAGAGGGAAGAGGGGAACTACAGAACCCAAATCTCCCGCCCAAGAGTATCTGGAGTTGGGTCCTCCTTGTATAAACTCATGCCTACCCACCTAATCCCAAATTAAAAAGGGCCATAGCCCTGTTCTCTCTACCTAACATCTCTAATCCACACACCCCTATCCTGGAATGTACAAACCCATCAAGGCTGGACCCCAATGGATGTCACCCCAATGTGGGACCCTGACACTGCTTCAATCCTGTCTTCCACCTAGAGCATCACTTGGACTAACAGCAAAGTTATGAGATCCAGAAAAAAAAAATGGGTTGTGTTTTTAGGAGCAGTCAAGGTGTTCAAAAGGAAGGCGTAAAGAATTCCAGGAGATGTTTCCAGATGGAAAAACATATGGATTTGGCCAGGGAATAAGGAAGGAGCAGGAGGGGTTGAAGAGTTGTTGCAACAACCGTGTTTAAGCACTGGCATTTCTTGGGGGAAGATCTGAGGCCTCTTTGCAAAGGTGTCTAGGATAGAGCAGCAGATTTGTTAGGGAAAATGAGCTAATAGGGAAAGGGGAGAGGCTAGTTCCTGTATCTCTCTGCCAGGTTCCAGTTTCCCTGTGGATACCAAGCTCTGTCACACAAAACAGTGATGTAAAATAGTGAAGATAAATAAACATTGTACCTCTGCAATTATTTCTAGATGACTTATATTCCCCAACAGGGCATAATCTCTAAGTAAACACATATAACACTGTTTTGTTTAGGAAATAATAAAAGTGAAAAGTCTCTACATGTTGAGTTCAAGTGCAGTTTTGATACTTGCAGCCTATGGCTCATTAAATACATGTATACAGAATCCATGGGCACACAAGGGAAAGGGAATGGCCAAAACCATTTATGAAGAAATTTTGTTATGTATGTATGTGTGCTGTGTATGCATGTTTGTATGTGTTTGTGCTGTGCCTGTGTGTGTGCATGTGTGCAGAGGCCCTAGGTTGGCCTTGGATGTCTTCTTTGATCATTCTTCATGTTATTTATTAAGGCAGGATCTCTCAGTTAAACCCAGGGTTCATTGATCAGGTCAGTCTATATAACCAGCTTGCTTCCAGACGCCTGTCTCTACTTTCCAAATACTGAAATACATATGAGGTCTCCATGCTTGCCCAGCTTTTATGTGGATGCGGGGGATCCGAATTCTGGTCCTCACACTTGCATGGCAAGTGTTCTACTTATGAGGCCATCTCTCCTGCAACCCTCATGCAGATTTTTATAACTAGAATCCCCCTTCTTCAGGAGGAGCATGATAATATGGATGCTATTATATTCTGAGCAGAAATTGATGTGTCTTGGGGAGCGGAAGAGCAGGGACTATGTGGCATATGAAAGTGTATTAAAAAGAGGTTTGAATACCATTGTTGCTCTTGTCACACAGGCCAGACAGACCCCATGCATGCATGCACTGAGCATCCCATGATACAGGCACTGCTCTCTATGACAGAGACATGCAACATGACTGCAGAGAATTTGCCTGCACAGTGCATCCCCCATGAAGAGGAACTCAAACATGTACATCACTCTGTGGAGTGTAGAAGACAGGATGGGACATTTCAAGTGTTAAGTGTGTGTGTGGGGGGGGGGGTGCCGAATAGCAGGGCAGGTGACACCACTGAACACAGGAAGGTGTCAAGCTGTTCTGAAGGGGGTTGTCTTGAAATGTCCATGAATTGTACCACAGAAATCTCCCACTTGGCAATAACTCAAAGCAACAATAGCAGCAACAAGGAGGGCAACTGGGGATCCGAGGCAGCTTTGTGAAACACATCTTAACGCTTTGGGGACAAGAAAACATAGGTCCTAATACTAGTAAGACTGCCACTAATATTTAAACTGATTAACAAACACGTGACTGAGGGGCACTAAGCACAGAATGTGGGGTGCTGGAAATACATTTTCTGCCTGATAAGGCGATCGCAATAATGGATCAAAGGGAATGATGGGTAATAGCACATCTTGATTTTAAGACCTTTAACTAAGCAACACCCCCATGGGTGAGCTAGATTTGAAATGGGTTGGAAACCGTGATTTAAGAGGTGCCAATTAGCGACTTCCAATCAATCGCCCAGGTGGAAGGCACTATTTCTTTTCTTTCCCGCTAATTATTTCTAACATTCGCCCGATGTGATGCGGTGGCTCGCGCTTGGCTAAGATGTTCCCACTGTGGTTTCGGCGAGTGTGAGGTAAACCTGTCCTGCTAACAGAAGGCCCTGGGGGACGACCTCCTTCATTCTTTCTACACAAGTGTAGGCTTTTACACTAACCTATATTTAACCTTTTCTCTGCATTGGGCTTGGTGTAGTCTCCTCTGATAAGAACATTCAATGTGGCATCTCAGCAAGGCGACCGCTTTCTATCTGAATAAAGTGTCCCAGTGCTACTAACTGGGGGGGGGGGGTGAAGGGGGTGAGGGGTCAGGGTGTCCTCCTTGAAGATTAATCTTCCTTTTACTAAAAGGAAGACAATACCAAAAATTACAAGATTTGGAGACCGAAGGAACATAAGTGTAGGACTTGTGAATAGTGAATAACATATTAAAACTCACCATAAAATGTTAATCTACCTTCCTTTTAACGTGTGTGTGGATGCACATGTGTGCACATGTACGGGTGTTAGTACAAAGGTCGAAGGACAAACTTAAATATCATCCTCATGAATGCCATCTACCTCCTTTGAGATAGGAACTTTCACAGGCCTAGAGATGGCGAACTGGGCTAAGCAGGCTGGTCAGTGAGCCCCAGCGATCTTCCTGTCTCTGGCTCCCCACGGCCAGGGGTAGGAGCAGAGGTTCCTTCACCTTTCATTCCCCTGTGGGCTCTGGGGATTGAACTTGGGGCATCGTGCCTGCAAGGCAAGCACGTTTCTAAGGGCACCAAATCCAGTGCTAACTTCCCGAGTCTTAATGACGTCATCAGGAACTCGGCTACTTCACTGGCTTCATGTCACCTGCAGGGGTGACATGCATGCCTTCATGTTTTTGTCCAAGGTGCTGAGGACATTTAAAATGGACAGAAAATATATTTTTTTTTTAAAAAAAACCCTCACAAATAAAAAGTAGAAGCAACTTGATCCTTCTAGGTTACACCCACATCATAAGGGTTGAATTAGAGGGATTAACTGATAACAGACACTGCCTTTGACCCAGTTTCTCAGGAAAGGGCAACATTTGCTAGGGTTCCCTTTGGGGCTCAGTATTCCCTTCCGTAAGAATCTTAAAGAGAGAAAGGAAGAGAGAGAACGTGCAGAATAGGAGGGATGAGGAGGAGTGGAGGTTCCTGCTAGTGTTTTGAGCTGAAGGCTTGCTGGAGACATGGAAGAGATTCCAATACTCTGCTGTATGCTCACTGTGCAAAATGAGAGCTAATGAAACAATGTCCTTCCTGGTACTACTATACACGTGACAGGGCAGGACATCAATGTCTGCAGCAAGTGCGTGGCCAGTGGAGGGGATCCCGTAAGACAAGTCCTTAAGCAGGAGCAGCACTCCCCTGCCAGATAGGCGTGCTGATGGCATGTAGCGTGGCATCGTTCTAGCTGCCCCTCTCAGGTCAAAGGTAGTTTCCGTGTATGGACAGCAACTAAAGGTGCTGGCTGGGTGCCGAGGATTAGATGGGGGACCTTAGCATCACTGTCTTCTCCCATCCAGGCTGCCTGCCTTATCTCCTGGCCCCTGAGCATCAGCGGAACAGCCAGTGTGTCCATCCATCACCTACTCCCAGGGACTCCCCTGGGTACATCAGGGGTGCAAGCAATGGGACCGTTATGCAGGTGTCACCTCCTGTGACACTCAGGTTCCTGTGTGGCTTATTGTTTCTCACTAAGTACAATTAATTACTCCAGGAGCAAAGTCCCTGGTTCTTAAGGCAGCACTGCAGATGATCTGCCCAATAGCATATTCTGAATGCCTCAGTGATGCTTGCTGGAGTGATGCTCCCACGGCTTCACCAACAGGTGCTTTTAGGAATTAAACATGTTTAGCAAAAACACTTGTTGTATAGATTTTTCTTCCATTCAGAAATCTTTCCACTGGAATGCTCCTAGTATTTATCAAATCCAGCATCACTATCACAGACCGTGACACTTGTCCCCTCAGCTGTGTCCTCAGAGAATACTGTAAACATGACTACACAGAAACACAGAGGAGCCAACTGCCCAAAGATGGAAGCAGAGAACGGGACTCAGAGCTCTGCAAAGTGACCTTGAGAAGATACTCACGGCAGTTGGCTTCATCCTGGCCATCCTGGCAATCCTGGTGGCCGTCACAGCGCTTCCAGTTGGGGATACATTTCTTTGGTTGGTGACACTCGAACTCAAACCTGTCACATCGTCCACGCTGGGTGGGAGTGGAGGCAGCAGTTGTGTTTGCTAGAAAAGCAATGTTTTTACATGTTACTTTTCAGTATGGAGAGAGCTTGTCAGGAAGAGCAACCATTCAACTATTAAATGTGCTAGGGGAGTGCAGGTCTGCAGGAACTGTAAGGGGGAGGGGTATGAGGTCCAGGCACCTGCCAGCTGGACAGAAAAAGCAGGTAGGACATTATGTCTTATGTTGTTCCTCTCAGGGCCCCATCACAGACTCACTTGAGAGATCCTCTGTAAAGACATGGCTGTGGATAAGAAGAAAGGAAAGCAGATCAACCAGGAAAGTGACTAGGGGAGTCAGAGAAGGCTGCATCCTATCCTAAGCTATTGGAAGAGAAAGCTCAGAGCCAGCCAGCCCAGTATCACAGGATCCCCGAAGGTTCAGAAATCGTCTCTCTCACTTGAGAGAGAAGACCAGGGAAGGGTCGGGCAATAGGACTAGAAGAAGTTCCAAAAGCAGCCTCATCACTACTCTTCCCTTCTGGCTCCAGCCCAGGAGACAACTGCCCTGTTTAAAAGCAGGGGCAGAAGCCTGGCTGATTTTGATTTGCAAAGAATCAAAACAAAGGGGCTGTTGAAGCATCCTAACTGAGCAAGAAGATGCCAATGATAATAGAGGCACCGAACTTATGATCAGCCAATGAGAAGTCAGGTAACTTCCTGACATGAGGCCCTGGTAGTTTAGGCAGAGGGCCTAGAATTATCTCCAAGGACAATGACCAGCTTCAGAGATAAACAATGAAATTACCAAGGCCTGGGGTTTCCTAGCAAACAGGGTAGCAACAAAGCATGAAGCTGGCACGTCCACCCATGTACTCAGAATCACTCAGCAGCAATTTAGTTCCCATCATGGAACTAAGTACCAATAAAGAATTATCTAAGAAAAACCCTTAGCCTCAAAGGAAAACAAAAAAATATATATAACATGCACACACACACACACACACACACACACACACACACACAGCTCCAAGAAAGGTTGCTTGGAGGAAATAGAGACTTTTTAAGAAGCAAATATCAGGAAGCTGGGGAGATGTCTTAGTAGCTAAGAACCACTGCCCTGCAAACGTGAGGACTTGAGTTTGAAAACCCAGCCCCCTTGTAACCAGAACCACACAGATTCAGTGAGGGGCTGTTTCAAAACCCTAAGCTGAAAAGTAACAGAGAAAGATACCCAATGCTAATGTCCTGCCGTGGCCTCTGCATACGCGCCATAGGCACACGCTTGTACACACACAACCTGGACATACACACCCCAGCACCAAGCATACCCAAACAAGCAAATCTCAAAGCCAAATGTCCCTAGTGTGCTCATGGAGACTATATGAGAGCAGCATGGTACTAAAAGAAAAAAGACAGTAAAAAAAAAAAATTGAAACTAATATAACAGAAATGAAGAAACTCCAAGGAAGAGTTGGCAAAGCAAAGCGAATATCCCAGAAAATGAGAAGAAAACGGCAAATCTCTAAATCTAAAAGGGATTTTTTTTTTAAAGCAAGAATAAGGGATCCAGATGTCGTGACTCATGTCTGAAATCCCAGCTACTCAGGAGGCAGAGGCAGGAGGATTACCACAAGTGTAAGGCCAGTCTGGTCTACATAGCTAATTGCAGGGCTACATAGGAAGGCTCTGTTTGAAACGAACACAAAGAGCATAAGGAGGATCCGGTCAATAGACATGACAGACAAGATCACAAGGAGATGGAGGTGGGCACCATTCACTAAACGTTTTGAGACAATTCCCTCAAACTATATCACATGGATTCCCACAGGAGCCAAGGACAAGATCTGATGAGCTTGCAGAAAACTTAAAATAAAACTGATGAGCTTGCAGAAAACTTAAAATAAAATAAAATAAATAAAAAACTTAAAATAAAGCTTAAAATAAAACACACAGCTTAGGAGCTCAAGCTGCCCATGGCTTTCCTAAGAGCTACTCAAAGGACAAGAGCAGATACTTTCCACTTCTAAAGAAAAGTGACCGACAAGCTAGTGTTCTAAATTCAGCACAGATGTCAATCAGACCTGAAGATGGGACATAAACCGTTTCAAATAAGTCAGTCCCCAGACACATTTCCTACAGATTCCCTTCCAGAAACTTCCTAGACTATATGCTATATCAGCCATGAGAGTGAAGAAGAGAAAGGAGAGAAGCTGGGACAGCTAATTGTGGAGAGCTTCACAAAGACCACTGTGCAGGAGCATCAGGGGCAACTGGTGCAAACCACAGTAGCCCAGCAGGAAGCAAACACGCTGAGAGATGCTCCTGCCGCTCTCACTTAGCCAAGGCTGACACAGACGACAAAGCCCCTGCAGGCCCAGCTCCAACAGCTCTGGGGCTAGCCTGGGGTATCCTGAGAACTGCTCTCCAAAAAGAACTTAGAGGGGCAGAAGCAGGGGGAAGGGAGAGGGACTGGAAAAAGAGTAAAAGGGGAAAACCGGGAAGGAGGGAAAAGGCAACAGGAAGGGAAGGGGAATGGAGAAGAGGAAAGGGATGGGGAGAATAAGGGAAGAAAAGGAAAAAGAGGGGAAAGGGAAAGAGGAAGGGGAAGGATGGAGTGTTAATTGGTCTCCTGGGCTGGGAAGACAGCTCAGTGGGTAAAGTGTTTGTCTCACAGGCTTGAGGACCTGTAATCCCAGTGTCCCTAGGATGAGATGAAGATAGGGAGTTCCCAGAAGCTTGGGGGCCAGCTAACTGGCACACGCACAACACACAGCAAAGGACCCTGGAACGAAGTGGAAGGCAAGGACCAATGCTGTGGTTGTCCTCTGACCTCCACATCTCCACATGTGAACATGCATGAGCATACAAACAGGCGTATACATACCATACACACACACAGATGCACATTTAGGGGATATAAAAAAATAATTGATCTTCTATAAGACTACAGGGAGGGGGGAAGGTGACAAGTTGGGAGGGAAATGTGAATGACTGTTAGCAAAACACATGGTATAAATGAATAAAAATGTCATAAATAAAATCTACTGTTTTATATAATGAATATACACTAATGACTTTTAAGAACCAAAAAATTAAAAAAAAATGAATAAGCAATCCACCAGTTAAAATGAGGGCCCCAATTGTTAGGATATTTATTTAATGATTGCCCTAAAGACTGCTCTGATTTTCCAGGCAAGAAGCCACTGGCGACTTTTAAATAGGAAAGCGGTGGGATCCACACATAGGAAGATGATCTCACTGTAGACCTAAGAGTGGGCTCTGGAATGGGCTGTATAAAGGATGACAAACAAGGTCAGCGCTCCTCTTAAAAGCAAACTTGGAACTGCCTCTCATTCAGGGATGGCAATGCTATCTCAACCCTGTTCTGCTGGTAGGACGGAAGTCTCAAAAGACCCTGGCCTCCTGCATCACAGTGGCTGCAAGACCTTCAGTTTTTTCTGTGTTCAGCCACTAGATGGCAGTGATCGCCCTTCCTTTAGAGGGACCACCTGGCAGTTGGCAAGCAGAAAAACTGGGTCCTCTCTCCTGAGTTGGTACACACACAAACCTCGTCACTATCCCAGCTATAACTCCTCACTGAGAGGGAGACAGGGGTAGAAGGCAGGAACCACGCAGGGCAGTTTAAAGGCTAGGATGATCTCGGGGTACAGTGCCCCCCGAATGCCACTGTGCAAAGCCTGGCTGGGACTCACCTAGAGAGGGGCAGCCTTCCTCGTCTGAGCCATCAGCACAGTCCCGGTAGCCGTCACATACCCAGGTGTCCATCACACAGGCTCCGCTGGTGCAGCGGAAGTAATTGGGCAGACACGTGGAGGGTCCAGCGGTGGGGGAGGGGAGAACATGAGACTCTGCAGAAAAGCAAATGAGGAGATCCCAAGTGTGAGTAGCTGCTTGGTTTCAAATGAAAAACGTGTTCCAAATGGATGCTGATGTCCCTGTTGCATCAGCCAAAGGAGACCGGTGGCAGACACAGCCCTGAACATCAGCCTACTTAATCATCATCTATAGGGGGTTTCCAAAGAAGTGGCAGTCTCTCCCCCACTTAGGAGAGTTAATACACTGGAACAGAGCCATTGTCACATGAGTGAGCCCCCACAAGGGCTCCTGACTGAGGATGGAGGAAATAGGTGGACCAGGGAGACACACGGTGGCTGGAGAATTCTCACTGAAGCCTAGCATGGCTGTAGCTGAAACATCACCATGACCCAAGATGAGAAGGCAGAAAGCCCATGTCCCACACCAGGACCCTTACACATATCAAAACATACTTAGGACCTGGGAACTTACTAAAGTACCCATGGTATGGAGCCTCTGACATTCTGAAGATGTCCCATAGAACAAGGTGTGGGGGTGGGCAGACTCAGCTGAGAAGCAAGGCACTAAGTCCTTCAGAGTCGGGAGTGGGTAACCTTGGAGACAGTGGAAACCCATCACACAGATCGGTCATACAGCGGAAATTCATGCCAGTGCTGGGAGAAAATGGGAGTCTTGGAAGTCCCTAGGCCAGCCAGCTTAGCTTAACTGGTGAGCCCCAGGCCCTCTAGTAAGAGACAGTCTCAAAAACCAAGGTGGAAAGCACCTGAAAGTGAAACCAGAGGTTGGCCTCTGGCCTCTATAAGCAACATACAAAACTGAAAGTAAATGAAGGAGATGATGACCGGAAACACTCAGCATGGTTCCTCCCTCACAAAAAGCCAAAACAGTACAGACTGAGCCAGGCTCTCTGCAGACCAGTAGAGCTGACCTGCTTCCCTGGGCTCTCACCTCCACAATCCTTCTCATCAGACCAATCCCCGCAGTCATTCTCTCTGTCACATTTCCACCTGTTGGGGATGCAGTGCCCATTCTCACAGTGAAACTGAAAGTAGCGGGAGCAGTTTGGGGCTTCCGTGGGGTTTTCTGCAGAGAACACACACACTGTCAGTCATGTCCCCTGCACCAGGGTGAACGCAGGCAGCGCTTCCCCTCCGTGTAGCTGCCTAGTGTGAAGGCAGCTCTTCCCCTCCGTGTATCTCCCCTGCACCAGTGTGAACTATATCGCCCCAGTGTGAACTCAGGCAGTACTTCCCCTCCATGTATCAATCCCCAGTGTGACTACAGCTCTTCCTCTCCATGTATCAATCCCCAGTGTGACTACAGCTCTTCCTCTCCATCTATCTTCCCTGTGTGACTGCAGCTCTTCCCCTCCGTGTATCTCCCCTGCACCCGTGTGAACTATATCGCCCCAGTGTGAACTCAGGCAGTACTTCCCCTCCATGTATCAATCCCCAGTGTGACTACAGCTCTTCCTCTCCATGTATCTTCCCTGTGTGACTGCAGCTCTTCCCTTCTGTGTATCTCCCCTGCACCAGTGTGAACTATATCTCCCCAGTGTGAATGTGGCGCTTCCCCTCTGTGTAGCTCCCCAGTGTGAACGCAGGGCTTCCCCTCCCTGTATTGATCCCCAGTGTGAACACAGCTCTTTTCCTCCATGTATCTCTCCTGCGCCAGTGTGATCTGTATCTCCCCAGTGCAAATGCAGCGCTTTCCCCTCCTTGTATCCCCCTGGACCAGTGTGAACCAGGGCTTCCCCTCCATGTATCTCCCCGCAAGGTGAATGCAGCTTCCTCCTCTGTGTATCTCCCCAAGGGCCAAGTCCAGGGACACCTGCACTCCTCTCCCTGAGAAGAGAAGGCATTCTCCTGGATCCAAGCTGGGACAAGTAACATCTGCAAACTCAACAGCGCCCATCTTCTTAGCTCCCAACTCCTAGTTTTCTGAACTGGCACCCTGAGGATAGTCACTCTGAGTTTTAATCATGACACTTTCCCAAAGACATAACTTCAGTATGATGACAGCCCAAGGGTGATGGTGTGTGGTCTGGAACTTTCACAGGGAGGTCCACGCCCCAGCATTTACCATCACAATGGTTACTCTTCATTAGGACATACAGGGGGACTTAGGGTCATCATGGAAGCAAACCTCTGCTGTGCCTATTAGGACACTTCCAAAAATATAAATAGAGAGGGAAAGACTCACCCTGAGTCAGGGTAGCACAACCCAGGGGCTGCAACCATGGATGGGATGCAAAGGAGAAAGGGAACTGAGCGTCAGCATTCATTTCTCTCAGCTTCCTGAGGGTGCACATGGCATGACCGGCTGTCTCAGGTTGCTGCTGTCATGGTTCCCTTGTTGTGGCGGTCTACATAGATGGACTTACATTATGTAACAAAACAGACTTTCCTTGCTGAAGGTGTTGCTGTTGTGTATGTTGCCACAGAAAAAGTAACTAAGACACCGTGATTGCTTACCCACTACACTCCTTATGTGTGATGTGGCCCTCCCAATGGGGGAAGGGAGGAGTAGGCTAAACATCCCGCAGCACCTCCGGGATATAATCCCCTCTTCATCCATCCCTCCTATGCTGCTGAAGAGGAGGAAGGCAAGGCTCTAGGTGAGATGTCTGAGCATCCCCGCCCTACAGTCTCCCTGTAACTGGAAGGCCGGCTGAGGCAGGCGGGTCTCCTGGTTTTCTTACCACAGTTGGCTTCGTCCGAGTAATCGCCACAATCGTCCATCCCATCACACTTCCAAATCAGGCTGATGCACACCCCATTCTGACACTGGAAGCCGAACTCGTCGCACTCCTTGTGGAACTCGGGGTCTTGAGCTAGAAGGTGACAAACATCTGTCAAGTCCAGGTCGCTTCTGTGCTAGAGAGTTCTGAGCAGCCGGGCCACTTGGAGGCAAAGGTCCTCTGCTGAGAGACTGCGGAGCTAAGGGGGCCTCGAGAGATTGAGGGAGGACTCGGTCTCAGCAGAGCACACTGTTAACTAAGCCATTCCACAAGCGGGGCTGGACCCCTAACCCCCGATACCACACCTGCTTTAGAGATGATGCTTTCAACGAGGGAATGTAAATTAAAACATGGCCATCAAGGTGTGCCCGAATCCAGTATGACTAGTGTGCTTAGAAAGAAAAGTCCCTACCCTTCAGCAGGCTAGGGAAAGACTGCCACTTAAACCCAGGGATTCAATGCCAACCCAGGCAACACAGCAGGACCTTGACCTTGTTCCTTTAAATAAATAAACACAGCAAAAGCAGAAGCTTAGACAGATGCTTAGAGAAGAAGGATTAGGAAAAACACTGGTAAAGGCAGCATCTACCAGAGAGGGGGGGAGGCCCGAGACGGTGCTATCAACACCTCAAGAGTAAACAACAGAGTTTCTGGTGGTTGAGCCACCCAGTCAGTCTGCAGCCTTTTGCTATGACAGTTCAAGACGTGCACAGACCTAGTGCTGTGCTTTGAACGTGAAATATCCTTAACCGGCTTTGATTTGAACACTTAGTCTCTACCTACTGCCGCTATGTTGGGAAGCTATGGCACCCCGGAAGTGTGACTTAACTTGGGACAGTAGGGCAGTGGGGCTGGGCCTTTGGAGATTGTACTGGGTCCTCAGCACCCTTTGCACTTTGCTCACTGTGTTCCCTGAGGTGAAATGTTCTTTCCCAGCACACTGCTACCACCGTCATATTCTGCGCAAGTACTGGAAGCCAAACAGCCATGGACCAAATCCTACGGACCAAACCCTATGAAACCACGAGCCCAAGCAGAGTCTCCCTCTTTACAGCTGTTTCTGCCAGCTGTTGGGTCACCATGACACCAAAGTAACGGCCAGGGGCATTTTGCAGCAGGAGATGTAAAATAAAGTATACACTATTGGGACCACTGGGGCAAAGCAGTGCTACAAAGATTAGCTCCTCAATACGGATGGCAGGCCAGCCTCTCCCACAAGGTGACCCTTGAGCCAAGGTCCTGGTCACTCACCGTCACCTGGTCACCTGGTCACTGTGTATGGATAGTTACAAAGCATCAGTTCATATGTGAGAAAAGGAACAACCACAAAGAGAAGGCTGGGACACACGAGTCTTCGGGGTCCCACGGAGCGGCCGACCTCCCCACCCATCCACTCACAGCATCCGGCGAAAGTGGGGTCCTCGTCGGAGCCATCACGGCACTGGACGATCCCATCACACACCATGGAGTGGAAGAGACACTGCTGGCGGTTCTTGCACACGAAGTCCATGAAGCGCGTGCAGAAGGGCTCTGAAAGAGAGTGGCGAGGAAGAGCCATGAGTGCCTGAGGCGGCAGGGGCGCTCGACAGTCCTGACCAAATGCACATGGACTGACCCACCATCTGCAGGGATGTGAGAGCCTCTGTGGACGGAGTACCTATTAACGCAAGGCTCCAAGCTAAAGCACTGCCATAGAGCGCACCATGTCGCACCCCCGAGGCAACATTATAAGACATTTTATTATCTCTGCATATAAAACAAGGAAATAAGGATCGCGGCATCAAGTTCTCTCCCCACCAAGGGCACATGGCTAACGAGGGAGAAGCACACACTACAACCTAGAGCTGCCTAGCACGAAGTCCAAACCTTCACCATGATTAATCTGACACCGACTCTCTGATACAGAGGTCAGCAATTATTATCTACAAGAAACCAGTGTTACAGGCTCAATTGAACCCCTGCCTTCAGTATCTCTGTTGAAGAGCTAAGCCCAACGTAATTAACTCTATCTGGAGACAGGCCCTTTAGAAAAACGACTCAGGTTTAAAGGTCATTAGGATTAAAGAAGCCACAATAGGATAGGTGTCCTTTTAAGAACAGACATCAGAAACGCATGAAGAGACCATGTGAATGCATAGCAAGATGGAATCTGGAGTTGAGTAATAACTGCCTTTGATAGCCCTCATAATCTTATGAATGAATTCCTTATAATATTCCCGCTCCCCAAACACGTGTGTCTGTGTACAAACATGTCGAGCCTAAGCTGTTGTTCCCATGAGAAGTCCATGGCATTAGGCTTTGTTCACAGAAGCCTAAAACATAGCTTCTTTTGTCTACTCAGTTTCACTATGATAGCATGAGAACAGCCACATGCAACAAATAAACAGGTGATACCCAGTGTATTCAATGCGACTTCATTCAGAAGAGCTGGCTACGGCATGCATTTGGCCACAGGCCAGGCAGCCATGCCCATACTAACATGTTTGCTTTTGAGTGATGGGCTGGACCCTACCTAGAGGCCAGATCACAGCACCTGCACTAACACATTTGCTCTCGACCTGGCCTGCACGATAGAATAGCATGGAACACCGTAAAAGAGGGAGATATCTCAACACCGAGGTCACACTCTAGACTAACTCAGACTGTCTGGGGTCGCCCCCAGATGCTGTGGTTTTTGAAAGTCCCAGCTATTTCCATCTGTGGAGAACGCTGGCTTTATTACTCTTTTGAGAATTGAAAACGGGATAAAAAAGAGTCATCTGGCCTAAAACACTCCTCAAGCGATATTCAGTAATAAACAGTAATAAAGCCGGTCATGCAGAAGAGGGAAGAGCCCAGGTGAAAACAATTGGGCAGCTGATTGTACCCAGGGCAGCCAAATGGCAACATTTACGCAAGTATGGCCTGACCCCACCCCCCTCCATCACTCTGCCTACCTTAGCACATCCCTCTCCCTGTGCCTTGCCTAACTCATCCTCTAGGTCCAGCACTCTGGGACCAGGTACCGAAGAAATGAACAGATTGGAGTCCACTAGGGTAGGGAGTGGGCTCACCGCAGTGCTGCTCGTCAGAGCCATCCAGGCAGTCCCGCAGGCCGTCACAATGCTTGCTGGACGGGATGCAAGTGCCGTTTGGGCAGTGGAATCCATTGCACTTTTTCTCTGAAATGGAAGACAGTCACAGAAGAATGACAGAGAAAAAAACCAGGCTGGCACCCACAGTTGTTGGCAGGGTACAGACCCCACACCGCCTCAAGGGTAGTTTGCTAATGGTTAGCAAAGCTACACACTGACATATGTCTTTGACCCTGCAATTCCAAATTGTGTTCTATTTATACAATTCAAAAATAATATATGAACATAATGTAGCCGAACGTAGCGTAAGCCCAAGTGTTACACTGGAACACTTTGTACCAGTGACAAGCCATCTACACGTAGGGACTGATCAATAAATGGCTGAACAGTGGAGGAGAAGTTGGCCATAAAAAGTCTGAAGAAAACTACTATAGAAAATTTTCTCCAGGATCTATAACTATTTAAAGAAAAAAAAAAACAAGGTACAAAATAACACTCATGGCATATTGTGTGTTTACAAGAGGACTAACACGTGGTGCCTTTGAATTTGTATTCATATTGTATATGACAGAGGGGGGGTGCGTGCTGCCAAGTGTGTCTGTAATCAGCTCTACTGCAGGAGGTGCAGGGTGACATTGTCACAAGGTGAAATGGCAGGCCCTACTGCTGACCGTCCTGCGAGAAGGGGTCTATAACAGTGATCAAAAGGATAAAGATCATACAGTGAGCACAAACAGTAGCACGTATGCTTGTTATCACTATCCGAGTATCGCATACAACATGGAACTGTGTGTGCCGCGTGTGGATACGGCTGGCAATGCTACAGGCTCATTTACACGGTGCCACCACAAACACACAGTGACACATCCCACCACGATGTGAGGAAGGCTGCAGAAGGAGTCATGACCTGACAGAACTTTGCATCTCCCCACGACTCCCATGTGATCTTATGGGACCATTGTAAAGACAGCCCATCACTGACTGGACCATCCTTAGACAGCACATAGCTATATATGCACAGAACAATTCACAGACATTCAAAAATATTAACCAATAAGTAAACCATTAGATTATGGTTTCCTACAGAGACAAGGTAGACAGGAGGGCAATGTTTACTATAGACCCATTTATGCTTTTTCTACCTCCAGCTCCCTGACTATACTAGTGAAAATTCATTATAGTTTTATAAGAAAGAAAAAAAAGTTTCAGTGACTAGGGGGGAAAAAAGGACACAAAATCCTAGTTATTAAATCCTGCTCTATAAAACACTTTGTATCTTAACTCTTATTCTTCAGGAATCCTAAGGCAAAGTGCTTTTGGAGTATGTTTGCTTAGAGATGTTGAGAGCCTGGGGTTTTGCAGCTATTTCAAGTGGAACTGAAACCAGAACTAAGATATCCTAATGCTTGAATCGCACAGTTTACCCCAAGCCTCTCCCCCCTGAGCAGTGGAGCGCTGCTAGTGAAGGCAGATCTACCGGGATGAGCAGAGAATTCTAGAGCCCAGGGCCTTGCCGTTAGCTCTACAAAGACTAGCTCCAAGGCAAGGAGATAAGATGCAATCTGGTAAAAAGTCACCATTCCTAGAAAATCAGTCAAAAAGCATCGTTCAGACAGAGAAAACATCTGTGGGTCTCAGGATTTGGGAAGATGTGAATGCTGCTAAGTAAAATAATTTTTGATAAAGGCCAAAACCAGCTAGGATGATAAAGTCTAATATCAAGGGAGACGACAGGGAATACATGGTACAGGATGGGCAGAGAGCACTTAGGATAACCTAGCAGCGAAGGGAACCATGGGAAAGCATGGGAGCTTCTGCCACCATCAGTCCACACCGTGCAAAGTGTCCCAGGAAATGGTTCAATGGCAGAACAAGCCTTCGAAGGACATGGAGGGTTGTGTTGGCTTAACAATAAGAATGGAGCGCTCTCAAATGCTCAACAGAGATCAGCTAGATAAATCACATAATCATAATTAATATAAAATAAATATGCATCTCACAGAAAAATATTCAACACAGGAAATGCAGGTATACGAAAATTGCTAGTTTTAAGCTTTGGAAAGTGAAAGAAGATTATGCAAAATTTATATAATGACATTTGTCCACAATAACTGCCCTCCTATGAAAATTCAGAATGTCAGCAAAAGAAATGATAACAGTCAAGTAGAAAAGCTCTGTGTATGTTGCTTTATTACTGTAGTAGCAGGGTGTGTGTGTGTGTGTGTGTGTGTGTGTGTGTGTGTGTGTAACTGCTAACATGGGAGAACAGTTTCACCTACCTGGCCATCAGCTGACCCTCCCCTGAATGACAGCCCCTCCCCCCGGGAGAAGGGCCAGGCAGGGGACCAGGGAATTTGCATTTACCGCAGCTGACAGGATCCTCATCAGAACCATCCTGGCAATCTGCGTCACCATCACATGCCCACCGCTGGGGGATGCAGTGGCCATTGTGGCACTGGAAGTTGGAGGCCTCACACGTATGATAGATCGCTGTCAACAGAAAAAAGGACCAAATCATTCCTTCTTGTGCCCCCTCCCCCATCACCTACCAGAAGAAAGTCCTACATTAGATATCAAGGTGGGGACTTTGGGAGCAGCTGAGCTCTGCCTAGGTGGAGAGTCAAGTACCTAGGGCTGAACTTGAGGTACAAGTAGTTTTCCCTTAGTAATATCTTCGCTGCTAAAGAGACAAGCAAGGGCAGGGGACAGGAGACCAGGGAGACTTCTCCCTCTATCAATATCTACCAGCCATTGGTACACAGCATCATGTCCACCACAACCACTTGGAAAAAGAGAAGAGGAGGCGGTGCTACAGTCACTGCTATAAGAATGGCTCCTTTGCACATGGGTCAAGGTCACCAAGAAGTCATCCAGAATGTCTCAGCAGGCATCTGCAGGTTACACAGGGTTCCCTAAGTCAGTGGATAGGCCTGGACACCCACAGAAAAGACTCGAGCTTTACAACTAATGGGCCATTTTACAACTGAGAGACTGGCTTGGAGAGATTAGGACACAGATACTGCTGTAACAGTAGCAGACTGTGCTGCCCTTTCACACTCTCACGTAGGGCCCCTCCTAGAGATGCCAGAGATACAGGAATACATATCTACAGAGAGAAGAGGGGCTGTGTGTTCTGGAAGGAAGGTTCTAAGCCTCCCTCAGCAACTGTGTAGAGGCCTCAATTTTATCACATTATCCTGGCTTCTTGAGAGTTCATCTAAGTTATGAAGCGACGGGACTTCATGTAATTCTAAGTAACACTACCCAGTTTTTGATGTGGAAACCTGCCACAGAACACAATGATTTCATCCAGAATCTCAAAGAAAGTAAGCCTGGAGTGTGGAATGATCTAAACCTTCTATAAAGTCAAGAGCAACATCTGCCACACTTAGCATCCAGTACAAACACTTAAAAAGAAGCCAATGAGACAGAGAGATACAGTGTTTTATTTGTTTTTGGTTTACCCATTTATTTATTTGTTTCAGCTTGAGTCAGTCTCTCTCTATGTAACCCTGGCTGCCATGGAACTCATTGTACAGACCAGGCTGGCTTTGAACTTACAGAGATCTACTTGGCTCTGCCTCCCTGCAATTGAGGGCTAGGATTACAGGCATGCACAACACCAGGCCTTAGAGGTGCTGTCAGAAACTAACAGAGTCATTGGTGCACAAGTTATTAAACCTCAAAGATTAGTTCAAGTAGACAATATTTGCATCCAACCCAAGCCAAAGTGTAATGGACTTTTCCATCCTCTCATGAAGAAAGAAGAAACTGGGTTTTGTTTTCTGTTCAGTGCTGAAGAAAAGCCAGAATTTGTATGGTTCACAACTGACATAAAGAAATCATCGGTTCTCCTGATTTTCAGGGGACACTCTCTGAGACACTGCATGGATGTCTAGAATTTCAGATGCTACTGAACATGGCAAATCTATGTTCTAACATATACATAACTATGATGCTTAATCACAGAAATAATAACCATAAACAACAGCTAACAATAAAATAAAACAATCATACTATATGGCATAAAACTCATTTACAATTTTAAAATTGTTTATTTCTGGAATTTTCTCTTTTTGCATGGCAATTGACCACCATCCAAAGTCAAATCACAGAGAGCAAAACCATCGGCAAGGAACTACTGTAACCTAGGCTGGCTCCTTGTTGGTCCAGCTGTGTGAATAGACATCCTCCCAACAGGAGGGCACAAATAAGAGCAGGCTGCTAAGAAGAAGAAGCTACACATTTTTATTCAATGGAGATGACTGATGGCTTGCTGTTGAAGAGTTGGGAAAATTGGTTTATAGTGTCCTCCAGAATTTCTACTGAATTGAAGGCTATTCTCTTGTAATGGCAAGAAATAACCAAACCTGGTTCTTCAAAGCATTCTAAAACAAGTACGATCCATTATCTGTCTTTTCATCTCTTTGAAGACTGAAGAGGCACATACATAAGCCTACTGAGAATTTTTGATGTTTACAAGTTCAGGCATTTAGAATCCATTAAACATCTTAAAAAAATATACTCGTGCTAAAAAAGAGGGACCCATGAATCGTGTGTGTTACCTGAGTTTTTATGCACTAACAGCCATTACCTAGATTCTTTGGGGTTTATTGATGAAGAGAATCTGACCAAGCTTCAGCCTGGTTCCTTGGCACAAAGTCATCTAAAGCTATTACCACGAGAAGCTAATTGCTTTCCACTCTGTATGCTTGTTTTTAATTGAAAACAATTTCAAAGTGCTGGGGGTGGTTTCTAAATGACAACCCCAGGAGGCTTTTAAAGATCCCCGGACTTTAGCCAGATGCTGAGCCTAGTAAGGTTTTTCAGTTTGCATAGTTTTGCTCAAGTGACCAGCAATGCCTAGAATGTATAAGTTTTTCCTTTTCTGGATTAAAAAACACAGTCTTTTGAGTAATTGAATATTCCTCTCGTTTTAAGTGTTTGAGAAATGGTATGTGCTCAAAAATAATACTTCAGTTACAACAATGAAGAGGATGACTGATTTGGTGTGCAGGATTTGGGGGACTTAAGGACTCTTTGCATGATGGGAGTCACTGTGACTGTGGGGTTGGTGGGGTAAGCATCCTACCGCTTGTCCTCTGACTTTGATTTTCCCCACCCTATCACAATCTGTTAGAATACCTGACCAAAATCATTTCCCACACATAAGTAGGCCTACACAGGTGAACACTGTAGTCTAAGGAGGAGGACCGCTGTCTCATTTCTTACAAAGCACTGGGCTCCTAGGAAGGGTATTAAAAAAGACCATGTTACAATGACTAAGTTTGAATAATTAATGATATTTAAAAAGTATAAAGAGAACTAGAAAGAATTGCAGGTTATCTCTGAAACAAGATAGATAGATAGATAGATAGATAGATAGATAGATAGATAGATAGATAGATGATAGATAGATGATAGATAGATAGATAGACGATAGATGATAGATAGATGGACAATAGATGATAGATAGATGATAGAGAGATAGATAGATAGATGATAGATAGATAGATAGATAGATGATAGACAGATGATAGATAGATAGATAGATAGATAGATAGATAGATAGATGATAGATAGATGATAGACAGATGATTGATAGATAGATAGATAGACAGATGATAGATAGATAAATAGATAGACGATAGATAGATAGATAGATAGATGATATATAGACAGATGATGATATAGAGAGACAGACAAATAGATGATGGATGGAGAGATGACAAACAGAAACTTAAGTAATAACAACAACCAAGTTTTAGACATTTATTTATTTATTATTTATTTATTCAGAGATGATAGGAATCAAACCCAGGGTCTGAAGCACGCTGGGCAAATGCTCTATCATTGATCTACATTCTCAACCCTAATGCTCAAATTTTTAAAAGATAAAATTGAAATATTAAATATACAGTGCTTTTAAGTATTCAAGAATTTGCTAAGCATTTTAATTTTGGAATTGTGGGCCTGGATTTAAAATGCTTCTATACCTGAGAGAGGAGAGAGGAAAGATAGTAAGAGTACAAGACAAAATACTTCTGAAGTGAATAGCAAAACAATTAGGGTGTGTGGGAAGGAATGAAGACTGCAGACAGAGCCTGGGTACCTTAGGGGATGCTGAGAACAAGGAGAACTCACAACACAGAGGGCACAGTGAGCTGAGACCTCCAGACCCTGACCCATCTTCCTTGTCTTAATTCAATAGGTCAGGAACTGAAGTGCTAAGCCCAAGGCACGGTGAGCTCAGATTCACCCCCCAGCTATTTGGAGATGGCAAGGAGGAGAATCAACCTTAAAACAACTGGAGAACCATTGGCACAAGGTTGCAGTTAAATGGCAAAATTGGCGTTCCACCAGTGAAACCTTCCTACAGGAAACCAGAGAGAAAACCTGGAGTTTATGACATGCCCACCCATAGTACTGCAATGCTAGTCTATTCTAGAAGTCTGGTACAAGCTCCTGGAGGCTGGGTTGGTCTAACATGGCAGCACTAATAAGACGTTCAATCAGGCTGTAATTTACATACGGAATGCCCAGGCACACCCTTCTGACACATTAATTAGCTACCCAAACCCAAGCCTACAGACAGCATCCACATGCTCCTGGGCTCACAGCGGCTCCTGTGACAGCCCGCTTTTCCTCCTCAACAGGCCACACATGGTGAAACCACGAGAGCAATCAGAACATAGTCCCTACCTTACACTGCCTAGCATTCATGACCCACTCAGGAGGTTTCCAATTTTATTCTAATGAACTCTTAACTCAAAGAAATGCAGTTTGCATCTTAACTGCTTTAGTGAACCCTGGATGCTCCACTTTGACAGCATTAGCTAGGTTAGTGTTACTCAAACCATGTCCTTGGCAGCTCACATCCATCTGTAGCTTCGTTTCTAGGGGATCTGATGCCCTTCTCTAACCTCCTCTGAGGGCACTGCATGCACATGGCACAAAGACACACATGCAGGCAAATACTAGTACACATAACAATAAAAATAAATCTTAAAAAAAGGCACGGTTCCTAGAGAAAACAGTCAGTCTGTATGAATGGCTTACACTGACTGGTCCTGAAGAACTAAGAAGAAGACTCCAGAATGTAACTCCCTCAGGACACTGTGCAGTTCTGCTCATAGTTCATACCCTCATCATACACGGACTCTGAGGAGGGCTGACCTAGACGCTTTCCACGCTAATTCTCAGCGGCTAATTTCTATGCTCACTTAAGGCCTCAGTGCCCACTGGGACACAAAGAGATGAGTGCCGTTTCCTAGGTCTAGGCAGTACTGACCGGTACAGTTGGCTTCGTCAGACCAGTCCCTGCAGTCGTTGTCTCCATCGCAAACCCAGGAGGAGCGGATGCACATCCCAGAGCTGCAGTTGAACTCGTCGCTGCGGCACTGATGCATCTCTGCAGGGGAAGAAGCACAAGATGGTGTTGGGAAGTTGTGCTCAGAATTTGGCTGCTGAGGTTAAGCATCTAAGGAGTCGGAAATGGACACAAGCCACCCATCCTTCTGACAGCGTGGACACAGAGACCTTCGTCAGGAGCCATCCACTACAGATCTACCAGACACCGGACAGAAAGGCCTCAAACCGAGGATGTAAGGTCACCCAGAGTAATTCTGCCATGCATGCTGGAAACAGGTTCTATATGTGCTGAGATACCGACACCCTGGAACTCAGAGGGAAAAAAAAAACTCACCTCTCCCATTTATCAATTTATCTTGGCATCCACTTAGTGTACTCCACAAAGATTTTTCCCTCGCTATGGCAATGGAAAGGAAGTTGGGATGCCGTGATGAGAGAGGCCAGAGAACAGACAGAAAGACAGGAAATCCTAGAGACACACTGCTGAGGAAGAGGTCACGTGAGCCAATCACTGGAAGATGCTCTACTCAAGGAAAGTGGGCTTAGAGCTGAGATCTCTGAAGGAGGAGATGCAGCTCAGGACTTTCTTTCCTCTGGGATGCTCATAGATTTGCTCTTTAGGAGGAAAGGTTCCTGAGGCCAGTGATGTGGTGCAGCTTCATCACGGAGTCCCTAGACTATCTTTCCCAGGCCCTGGGGGACTCATGAAATCCCACTGAGGCCTGAACGTGTTCCCACCCCCAAATCCCTACATGGAAACTGTCACCACTGCAGCAGGACATGGACCTTTAGAAGGTGATTAAGAGTGGAATCTGTGACCCCACTGAGGGAGAAGGTGCCCTTCACCACTTCTGCCATCTAGGGATACAGAGAAAGCACCATACAATAGACAGGGCCCTCACAAGATAGCAAATCTGCTGGTACCTTGACCTGGGCACCAATTCTCCATGACAAAAAGAAATTAATCTATTATTGATAAGTCATATGGTCTTATTTTATTTTTTTTTTACAGAAGCCCAAAAGGACCAAGATACAGAACTTCCAAGAAGAACTGTCTTAAGCCTCAAAACAACAGGAATGGTGGAGCAGGCTCAGCACAACAGATGAAAGTACTTGCCATGCAAACCTGACACTGATGGAGGTGGGTCTTGTATCTTATCTGTTGCTTTCATTGGTTAACTAATAAAGAAAACTGCTTGGCCTGATAGGATAGGCAGAGTAGACAGAACAGAATGCTGGGAGAAAGAAGCCGAGTCAGGCAGTCGTCATGATTCTCCCACTCCAGACAGATGCAGGTTAAGATCTTCCCTGGTAAGCCACCTTGCGGGCTACACAGATTATTAGAAATGGGTTAGATCAATATGTAAGAGCTAGCCAATAAGAGGCTGGAACTAATGGGCCAGGCAGTGTTTAAAAGAATACAGTTTCCATGTAATTATTTCGGGGCATAAGCTAGCCAGGTGGCTGGGAGCTGGGGCGGCAGGGAAGCGGCCTGCCGCCCCTCTCACAACATGACACCCTTTGTTCCAGCCTCAGAACCCATGTAAAAATGGAAGAAGAGAATCAACTCCATGAAGTTGTCCTCTGACCCCCCACATGTGTGCATGGTTCCTGTATACACACACACACACACACACACACACACACACACACATTATAACAACCATAATAATAGTAGAATTAATTTTAAAGATGACAGCAAACAAGAAGAGCCAAGCATGGGACCCAGGGCAGCTGTCCAAGTTGCTTTCCTCAAAGGCAGGTTATTAGCAAAGGTGGTGAATAAGGCATTCGTGAAGAGAGTCTGAGACTTACGAGGTGGGCCAGCAGCAGAGAACTACGAAGAGTAGGATCTCATGATGGGCCAGGATAATGGTTCATGATGGAGAACAGGGATGTTAAAGCTACTGAGTGCTCAGTGATTTGCCTGGAGATGGAGCTAGAGAATAGAGACTTGGAACCAAGTGGGGTTACATGTCTTCTAGAAAAGGTACATTTCTACCCTATCTATACACTTCAGTCTTCTGAGTTCTGGGGCAGAAATGGAAGAAAGAAGAAAACAAACTTTAGATCTCATGGTCATTTTTAGTGGCATTTGCTGAAAGAATATTATGAAACAAAAAAATAAAGCAAAATTCCTCATTCCTCACCTAGGCATGCCAGGATACACTCTACGCAACAGCGGTCCTGAATGTGTCCACTAATCTGTTTGTGCTGACATGATTTGTGAACGCAAGATCTAGTCCCTGTGAGTCAAACCACCTGCTCACAGCAAACAAAGCAGGCCTTGTCCATGTCACACACACAACTTGGCTAGACTTGACCTTGTGGACAGAAGGGAGGGCCATCAGGGCCTCAGCAACTCATCAGCATGTCTGGGTTGGCGTCTGGCCTCCATTCTCACTTCCCTTTCAGTCTGAGAGGTTCCCAGGCTGGCACACTACACGCACACTGCATAAAATCTCCTCCTACAGTAACAGCTCGGGACCAGGGCTCACAGAATTGGCATGGCAGTGCCACACAACAGAAAGGCATTACAAAAGGGGAGGCATGAGCCCCAGGTCCCCATTCTGATGTGAAACGATCTTGTCATTTTGAATAATCCCACTGAGGAGAGCGTTAAGAGGGACCCCAGTCAAAGAGTAGATGCCAGGCCCTCCTAGTCCCTGTGATGGCAAAACATCATTCTTCCAAACACAAAAACCTCCATTTAGAAAGCCCATACTAAACCAATGCTGCCAGACAACGTCTAACAGAGTCGATGACGTTAGATTGATTTAAAGAAGAATAACAATGAATCTGTGCAGCTGGACACGGAGGCACGTGTCTGTATGCCCAGCATTCAGGAGACCGCGCAGGAGGATCTAAAGGTCGAAGCCACTCTAGACTATATAGAGACCTTGTCTCAAAAAAAAAAAAAATAAAAAAGAAAGAAAGAAATTAAAGGTCACAAAGGTAAGATCCTGGGGCTATTATTCCACTTGATCTAAGGTGTGTGTTTGGGGGGGGGGGGTCTCTTATAGTTTATATTAAGGACCCAGTGAGTCTTGGTGGGGCAGAAAGACGACTCAGTGGGGGAAAGTGCTTACAATGCAAGCCTGAGTTCGACCCCACGACCAACATCCCACATAGAGGTGGTGGTGAGACCCAACTGTACTCTGTGCAGCTGTTCCCCCTCCACATACACACTAACATGGCCCCTCCCCACCCATACAAACCATGGCACACACACTCACATAGACGTCATAAACACACACAATAATAATAGAATGAAAAATACAAAGAACTCTTGAATTCACTCAGAAAAAAATCAGCCTTGCTTTCACCTCTCACTATACCTTGCCCAAATGAGAAAGCAGGACCCATTTTTAAGATTGGAAAACAAAGGCTCATCAAGAAGTGATGGAGGGTGAGTCTAGATGCCATCTCCTAACCAGGAACCCAACATCCTATCTAGCCAGAGATAAGCGTTGCCAGAGTAACTGAATGCCCATGAAAGAAAGTGAAGGGGCACAACAAAAGCTGGGCAGAGGAAAAGTGACTGGCCCCTGCCAGGAGGGCAGAAATGGGCATGCAGCTGGAAGATGCTAAATCCCAATCATCCATTGGAAATGCTCTACTCCAACCCGCCCCACCCACTCACACAGCCCTGGGAGCAGCATGCCCCCCCGCCCCAGAACATGCCCTTACCACAGTGGCTCTCATCACTGTTGTCCCCACAGTCATCTTCAAGGTCGCACTTATAGGAGAGCGGAATACAGGTCCCAGACTCCTGGCACCGGAACTGAGTGTCTGCATCACAAACCGTGGTTGCTACAAAGGGAAAGAGAGGATACATTATATCAGTTCATCCCTTTTGTCTACAAACCTCCCAGCAGCAGAGCAGTTGAAACTAGAGGGAGGCGGGCTTCAGTTAATAACAAGAACTAAACCCAGGCCTTATGACAGAAACAAATAGGAGGGAACCTGAAATTCACAGAGCAAGTTAGGTAAAGGCATGCGGGTGTCTCCAGGGCCAGCCATAGACGGAGACAGGGCCTAGAACGTAGACACTGCTGGCTGGGTGGGAAAGGAGGGAGGGGCTGGCGTGGCCCCTAAAATCCTCCCAGATTGTGAAGCACTCTGCCCGAGTGAGTGGCATAAACCATGTTGTCTACAGAACTACCACAAGGGAAGTTCAGCCCTGTGCCAGCAGCTGGCACATCGTACAGGTGAAGGAATGCGTAGCTGGACTCCTGCAGCAGAAACAAGTATGTTTGCATGCAGTGATGGCTGGGGTTCGAATCCTAGCTCTAACTCTTCCCCAGGCAATTCTAACCTCCCTAAGCTGCCCTGTTTTCTGTAGCAAAGTGAAGGTCAGGTAAACTGCACCAAGCACTGGTACCTGGCGGTAGTACTGTGGAGACAGGGTTCCAGCCATACCCTATCAAGCAGACTTTAGAGACAATGGATTTCTGATAGGTGTCTCTTTTTCTCCTGCCATAGGGGTGGGTAGGGAAACAATTAACTCCCTTTCCTAAGCAGAAATGTCCTAGCTGATCCGGAAACCCCGAGGCCCAGAGGAAGGCCCTAGGGAGACATGCAGGGAAGGGGAGCTGCTCTCCTGGCGAGCTGCTGAGGAGCTGCCACAAAGAGCAGGACGGAATCCTGCAGCAGAGGGTGGAGGCACAAGGTAAAATGAAACTTCAAACAGCGGTATTGCTGTTAGACGTCCCAGCAGCTCTTATTTGAGGTTCCATTTCTTCCCTGTAATTGAGCTCATGGTAGGAGGCAGGGGATGAATACGAAATGACAAGACTGTAGGGGATTCACGTCAAAACCTGAGTGTCTGACATCCACCCAGCTGGAGGAGTCTGTTTAACGGGGAGGAAAATGACTGACAATATCCCTCCCAAGTCGCCTGCAACACCCCTCGTATTTTCTCCGGCAGCTGACAGGGTGTCTCTGTAGTTCACCCCATGCCACAGCACCCTGCCTTGTTCTGCAACCTGGCCTGCAGACAGGGCTTGGCTCGCCATCTGGAGAGGCATGTCACTCCTCACTAAGGCGAGGCTGTGAGGGACAGATCCAGCCCCTCTGTCTGATTCCCAGGAGAGAGGTTTTACACTCCTTATCACCTCATCCCATCACATGTGACATGTGGGGACCTAAGCCAAGTGGGTTCACACATGTGAGAGAGAGGAGAGCAGAAAGCTTGTGTAGGGACAAGATGGGGGGGGGGGGGGCGACTGTCAACCTCTGCTGACAGTCACACCAAATCAGGAGGAGGGCAGACATCCCCATATTTCACCCACTTCATGGGTTCAAACTGTGGAGAAAGCTGTCATGGGGCTAGGTCTGTGGGAGGACAGTGCTGAGGCTCGCAGTACCCTGTGCAAACACAGAAGCTCCTGTCCACCCATGGAGTTATTAGGAGACTCTGAACCTGGGGCACAGGGACGGCCTGCTGCCTCATGTCCTACACATGTGGAAACCAGCCTGCATCTCTTTACTTCTGCTATGCCTACTGCCTATGTGAAGGCACATGGTGCCCCAGCATGTGCTCCACAGAATGCTGGAGCCTACAGGCTTCCCCCATTAACCTGTTCTTACAGTTCTCATGGCGAGAGAGCCTCTGGGTAGCCAGGGGTAATGGATTTGAAAGACAGACTTGACTGAGTGTCATTACAGTTTCTCTCTCATCCAGTTCATCCCACCCACTATTTATCCTTCCAAGAGGTAACTTCTTATCACATCACATGGGTGGCTCGCATTTGCCATTCCAAGAACACCCAGAAAACTGTTGGTCATAGTTATGTCCTGCATGCTACCTCCCCTATCATCCACGAGACTGGGGAGCATGTGGCTCCCATACCCATCACTTTCCTCCCTCCACCTTTGCTCAGTGGTCCCCATGCTCCTCAGAACCCTCATTCATGCCGAATGGAGTTGATATGGGTGCCTTTTCTAGATGGTTCAGTCCTGTCCATCACAGCACACTGCTGTGGGATAATGCTCTTGTACATGGCAAAGATGCTGATTGGCCGGTAGCCAGGCAGGAAGTATAGGTGGGGTGAGGGGGAAGAGGAAAGGCAGAGAAAGATGAGAATGCCTTACTGAGAAAAGGTACCAAGCCACGTGGCTAAACATAGACAAAAATTATGGATTAATTTAAGTTGGATGAGCTAGTTCACAGTAAGCCTGAGCTAATAGGCCAAACAGTTTATAATTAATATAAACCTGTATATGTTTCTTTGGGACTGAACAGTTGCAGGACCAAGCAGGACAGACACTTCTAGCTACAGCAGCCACTCTACTGCACCCTCCAGTAACTTCTCAAGACACAAAATTTCCTACCTACATCCAGCCCAGCAAAAGAGACTGAGACAGGGCTGTTAAATAAATATCTGTGAGTGTATGTTTTTATAAAGAGACAACAAAGCCATTAAAACTTAAGTCAGGAAAAGTCAGCTAAAGTCAAGCAAACGTCTGCCTCTAGGCCCTATGAAATGGAACTGGACCATAGAAGTCAGGCAAAACAAAGGTCACTTTTACGTGATATACCTTCCAACATTTCCCCACATTCTGGGCCCACTGGCAGTAAGATTAGTTATAACCATCTCCCTTCAGCCTGGCATGCAGCCTGCATTAGCTAGCTGAAACAGCATAAGAGGACCTGCTACCTGGCTTTGACATGTCCGAGTATTAAATTTACAAATCAAATAATTCACCTGTCATCCACTCCAGAGTTACCAGCTGTGTGACAGTGCACACACCAAGATCATGACCCACACTGCAAGTCAGCTCAGTTTCAGCCTTGAAGGCTTACATGTAAATAGTCTGCGACTTAAATTTACATATGTAATATAAAATAATATATCTAACAGATATTTACAGCTGCTTTTTTTCTGCTGCCTAAATCCCATCCATTTAGAGAAACACACCAACAAAAGTGGCCAGGCAGTATCCTAAACCACAGGCCACAACCCAGAAGGACCAGTCAGCCTCCTGAGCAAGGGTTCGTGTTTAATATCCTGGAAATTCTCCCGCGCCTGGAGACTCACGACAATTTCTCTCGTCACTCATATCTCCGCAGTCATTGTCGAAATCACACCACCAGATGCTGTTGATACAGTTGCCGTTGCTGCAGCGATACTGGTTGCGAAGACAGGTGTTCTCTAAACAAATGGGGTGGGGTGGGGTTGAAACCGGTGTTATTCTCAGCACTGGGCCACAACACTTTCCCTTTTCAGTTTCCATTTCTCTTCCCCCTATACCACTCCACTATAGATGGGATGGAGTGGGGAGGGAGGTCAAGAGAGCGCACGTGCATAGGAGGCAGGAAATGCCCCCACCCCACCCCCACCCCCAGAGTCTCTTTCTTTTTCTTTCAATTAAAACTGAAGATGAGGCAGACCGCAAGTATTTAGAGGTGATTACTATGAAGAAAAGGAAAACGCTGACACCAGATGGGTCTACTGGGGAACAGATCTTGCCATCAGCAAAAGTAAAATATAAATTACACAAACGAGCCTTCATGTGGCTGTGTCTACAGACATACCCAGGCGGTGCATCCACAGATATAATATACACCTAGCTGGCTCTCTGTACTCACAGTTTCCATATTCAAGACTCAGCTAGTAGAGCACCAGAAGTATTTGGGGGAAACTGCATCTGTATTGAACATGACAAACTTTCACCTCCGTGGTATCATTCCCAGTTCAACACCTATCTGCATAGTATGTATACTGCAGCAGGTCTTCCTAACAATCTAGAGGTAGCTGCAGATATATACCAAATTGGATACAGGTTACAAGCAAATACACTACGCTATTTTATATATATAAAGGACTTGAGAATCCATGGAATTTAGTATCCACAGAAGTCATAGATCCTGGGTTAGGAAAGAATGATTCTGTGTAGTTATATAGCTATACATGCATTAATTTAATAACTGAGCAGCTTTTTAAGATTTCAATAATATGACATTCTGATCTTTCTTCCCCCCCCCCCCCCCCATGGCTTCTTCAAAGCAAGGACTTCTATAGGACACAAAAGCATTGTTGAGCACTGGGCCAAGGACACCGCTGGCCTGTGTAGACAATCAAAAGCATTCCAGTGGTGACTGGAGAAACCCTTCCCTTCTTCTTATAATTCACTGTTGACTTTCTTTCCAGATAGCTTTAAGATGCCATTCAGAACATGAAAGGAAGCCTCCTGCTTCTGAGGAAGGAGGAGAGTCATCTCCTCTCCACTTGTATTTTCTAAGGAAGCAGGATGATAAGGCTCCCATTGTATACTCGCCTGCCCTGGCTCAGAGAAGTGTGGCTAGAATTACAGAGCAAATAGGAGCCGAAGAATAAGGAAACACAGGAATCCAGCCATCAATTCAAGTACTTCGCGCCAAGACCACCTTGCCTGGGCTCTCCCTGGTAAGAATATGAGTTTAGGGACTGGGGTGTTGGCAACAAGCAACAAGACAGGCGTGGGAAGGGGGTGTCAGATTCTCATAGGAAAAGATTTTAAAACCATGTATCCAAACTCAAACTGGCTAAAGACGAGGCTCCTCCTGTCATTTAATCGCTCGCAGTTTGAAAGTCGAGACTTTTAGAGCGCGGCCAACACTGATCTGAAAGCCTGAGCGATCCCCAGCTCTGCGACGGCAGACGAGTGGTCTGCTCTGACAGAGTTTAGCCAGTTGTGTTTGGAAGGCAGGCTGCTTCAGGGTTTTCAAGGCACATGTTGGAGAACCTGTGTGTCTGACAGAGTTTAGCCAGTTGTGTTTGGAAGGCAGGCTGCTTCAGGGTTTTCAAGGCACATGTTGGAGAACCTGTGTGTCTGACAGAGTTTAGCCAGTTGTGTTTGGAAGGCAGGCTGCTTCAGGGTTTTCAAGGCACATGTTGGAGAACCTGTGTGTCTGACAGAGTTTAGCTAGTTGTGTTTGGAAGGCAGGCTGCTTCAGGGTTTTCAAGGCACATGTTGGAGAACCTGTGTGTCTGACAGAGTTTAGCCAGTTGTGTTTGGAAGGCAGGCTGCTTCAGGGTTTTCAAGGCACATGTTGGAGAACCTGTGTGAGAGGGGTGGGTGAGGAGAGGAATGAACGAAACAAAAGGAAGATGGGCCTGAAGAAAGCTTGTGTCATTTGACATTAAACCAAGGGGCACAGCTATGTCCTTTATATAAATAAACCTAGGATTCTTATGAATGGGACTGAAGAGTCAGAGACCTTAGAGCCCAAACCAGAACCTCTCTTTAGTACCCAATGGGTATCATGTCTACTATGTGGGACATTTTCTAATAATCAAAGCCTAGGAAACACTGAGATCAGGAGGGAAGGGGGAGAAGGGTGGGAAGGAATGGGGCCACACCTTCTTTGACACACGTGTTGTTGTTCTTCTGGTAGCCCTGAGGGCAGTCACACATCAGGTCCCCAGAGGGGAGGACACTGCTGGTCACACCTTCTGGACACCTGCAGCTTCTGCTGTTGTTGGCCTTAGGGAGACATAGCAGGCTGCAGGGCTGAGGTACACAGGCATTGCTTCCTGGAGAGAAAACACAAAAACAGGACTTGGGTTAACACACACGTGGGGGAGCCAAAGAACATGAGCCACTGAAGGTCGTCTTACAGGATGTGGCAGTGGGGAGCCTAGGAAGTCTCTGGATAAACCTCTGTTCAGAGCCCTAGGAAGGAACCTACTCCTCACAGTAAGGGCTTCTCAGTGACTTGTTCCCACAAGTGCTTGGGCCCATGGAGCTGAAAAAGATGGCTCTAAAAGCACTTGTTGCTCCGTTAGAAGACCTGGGTATCATTCCTAGCACCCACGTGTTTCACAGATGGTTCACAGATGATTCACAACCATCTGTGACTCCAGTTCTACGGTACTGATGCCTCCTTATGACCTCTGTGGGTGCCAGGCTCATGTGTGGTCACACACTTACCTGCAGGTAAACACTCACACATATTCAAAGTTTAAAGGATGGCTGGGGCTCAAGGGAAGCAGATGTTCCTCCTGGTGGATGGAGCTGACTTACTGAAGGCTTAGACATCAACCAGGAAGTTGGAGTGAGGAGGAGGGTTACAGATCAGGACCTAAAGTGGTCCTAGAAGCCTAACCAGTGTGTAAACTGTAGCTGTGACCGATCTGCAAGTCCAGTCTACAGAGTCAGGATATTGAAGGAGACATGGAGACTCTTCTATGTCCTTTTCACAGCCCCAGCAAAAGGAAAGGTGACTTTCATGCCCACCCGCAGTTACCTGAAGGTTTGGGCAGATCTCCCATCTTTGGGTCCTTACTGCCTCCTTTGTCTTTCAATAATATTTTTAACCTGTTCCAGCTTGAATGGGTTTGTGCAAATGCCCTTCATCGAAATATCTACCTAGGTAATGGTCTCCCTTTCTCAACTCCTTTGTGCCACAGCACAGCTAACTGGCTGAATGAGGAACCACACATAAAACTGATTAGCCACTATCATGCATTAAATCTACAGAAGGGCCAAGCCCAGTACTGATCTAACCACTATACTGATCTTTTCCTTGGGTTGGCTTAGTAAAAAGCATGCTGGAGAACATGTCCAAAACACTCCACAGCACTCTTGGGGTCTCACAGATAGACAGACACGGCCAACTTGCTTTCCTGCCCCCCACTTTTCCAGTAGAAGTGGAGGATACCACACCTACTTTGTAACAACTAGCAGGACACAGCTATGGAGAGGTAAAGGCGCAGAATTCGTAAAATCCTCGCACTCTTTTCTTTTGCCTGCAGCTTTTAATCATGAAACTGGGGAAAGTAAACATTGAAACCTTTTATAAAACTCAAACTTCTGGTTTGGTTGAATCATTTCATTTCATGGACATAACTCCTCACACACCTCCCAGAAATCCATATGATCTCTTTCCATGCACCCAAGACATAAGCTAAGTTGGGTCTCTGCTGGGAAACAAATTTCATTGATATTTTAGCTTCTTTTCCTGTTACTGATAAAAAGGAACTTAAAGGAGACAGGGTTTGCTCTGGCTTACAGTCACAGGGTACAGTCTATCATAGAAGAAAAGTCGTGGAAGGGAGAGCTGCAGGGAGCTGAACCCTTTGCGCTCAAGGCCAAAAAGAAGAAACTATGGTGCAATGTTGACGTTCCCCTCCCTTTGTTTATCTATACAGCCAGGATCCCAGCCAGGGTATGGTGAAACCCACAGTGTGCAGAGTTTCCCATCTCGACCAATGTGCTGGAGATAATTCCCAACAGATACTCCGAGAGGCCCATCTCGACTGTGATTCTAGATTCTATCAGGCTGACAATTAGCAGTAACCGCCACTATAGATGATCATTAGTATTGGCAAGGGCCTTGAGGGTGTTGGCAACTCAACAACTTTTAGTGGTATCACAAATAAAACGGAGGGTGATTTAACAACGATGTCATCTATGTGCTAAGAAAAAGAGAGTATGAGGCACTATACATACAAACACACACACACATATAAGTATATATGTGTACACACATGCGCGTGCACATAGAGAGATTAATGTTTCATTCACATGATATAACATTCAAGGACTCCAGCAAATGACTCAGTCCACCATAACAGCCTCATTACCAGAGGAGACCTGCCAGCTGACCAGATCAGAATCCCTAGACACCGCCTTTCTCTGACATCTGTGGGAATCCAGGATTCCTTGGCCTCAAATACCACAGCCCTCACTATAGGAGCTGACACAGGGCCACTCCTAATGACAAACAACTCAAAGCAGGTATGACGAGATGGGTTGTTTATGTCCCAAGCAAAGGCAGGCTGACAGAATAAGCCCCTTAAACATGCTCAGTTATAGGATGACATCTGCACATGAACTGCACCCATAAAATGACGTAACAGGCATGTTCACATGCAGAATGAATAACTGTCCACGCCAAAGAATCCAAAATGTGAGTCTTACTTAAAGATGCTGATCCACGGCGGGGCGGTGGTGGCACACACCTTTAATCCCAGTACTCGGGAGGCAGAGGCAGGTAGATCTCTGTGAGTTCGAGACCAGCCTGGTCTACAAGAGCTAGTTCCAGGACAGGCTCCAAAGCTATGGAGAAACCCTGTCTCGAAAAATCAAATAACAACAACAACAAAAACATACTGATCCAGGCAAAGACGGATGGCACTGCAATATGAGAGGTCATACAGGGCTAAACCAAGCAAGCCACCAGGTCTGAGGACAGGAATTGGGCAGGGCAGAGCATCCCAGCTGGCACCAAGCTACAGAACAGAAGACGGGAGTGCTTCATGAGAGAGCCCGAACGGAGACGGAGGGAGAACCCATCACAGACCTGCCACACAGAATACCACAATGTGCAGTATGATGGCCATCAGGCCAGGGAAAGAAGAGACAAATGCCCCTTAGTGGACCTAGCCCGCAATGTCTTCACAAGGCATACTCAGGACATTTCAGATTCTCTCTTTGGAAAATTCCTCTAGAATCAATGTAAGAGCCCAAAACTGACAGCATCTCACTTAAGTATCTAAATATTTGGGAATTACCAAATTCATGTCGCCTCAAGAAACAGATACCCACTCCGACTGCAGATGCTTGGAAGCTGTGTTTACAGTAGGCTCTCGAGAAAAATTGAAAGAACTCTGAAATGCAGACTTCTCATGGCAGCATCAACCGAAGAGGCCCATAATCTTGCAAAATGATCCCTTTAAGGGACAAAAGAGAAACTTCCTACAGAACCAGCAGTAGTAGCTAACCTAAAAATCAGCCAGAGAGCAAAACCAGAAACATTTTCACTAGCCACCAAGTATCTCAAACCCACGCAAACCCAACTTTGATTGCAGGTCGGCAGCCAACAAACTGTAGATTTCTAAACAAAAAGTCACATTCCCAGGGCTCTGCCACCCCAGCCACCGCTGGCAGAGGGCGCGAAGCTTGATGGCTTCACAGACATTGACATTTCAGACTTGGCTCGAGTTCTCACCAGGCAGGTTGCGGAACCAGGCTTTCACACAGGCTGCAAAGACAACGGGAGTATGCAAAGACGTGTGGATCTGGGAACGGTCAATGACAATCACTCAGACCTGTGAAGCACCTTAGTACGGTGCGAGGGACAGAGCTGTCCCCTAACAATGCACCTACCATTATCATACACTTGGCAAATAGAAAACCCTACGTGTATTAGGAAAGAATAACAAAAATATTGAAGGTAGATGGCCGGGCACTGCATCCTGCACTGGGATACCCTCTTAGGGAGCTACCGAAGGAGGGAGGTTAAAGTGAACAAGCTTAGGACTGAGGGGCCTGCACGGCACCAGTAGCCAGAGTCATCACTGAAGCATTAACTCAAACTGTCCAGGAGTCTGGGCGCTTGCTGGAAAATTCCTGCTCAGTATAAAGGAAGGATACAAGAAAACCCCAAATGGGGAGCAAAGAGACACATTAAGTGCAACCAGGCCAAAGTGACAGTCACCCCTGATCTTGTATCTCTGTCTGTGTCTTGCCACCAGAACCTCTCTCTCTCAAACCACACCTTCCTCAGGTCTAGACACACACCCCCAACCCCTGAATTATTCTTCTCCAGCTAGTTTAAGTGACAGTCACTCTTTAGGACATGAAAAGGAAATGATGACTATGCTGAGACCCTGTCCAGCAGACAGACTACAGGGGTTCGGACTCCGACTGCTCCCCAGCTGTGTGTAGGCTGGGTGTGACTGCTTCTCAGCTGAAACCCTGTCCAGTACACAGACTGCAGGGGTTCAGACTGACTGCTCCCCAGCTGTGTGTAGGCTGGGTGTGACTGCCTCTCAGCTGTGCTTGGGTTGCTGGGCTAAGAAGCAGCCAAGACAGGATGTGGAGAGCCCGAGACAATCAGATCCACTGGGAACAGTCTATAGAAGCTGCTGGGCACACACCCAGCAGGCTAGGAGCATTAATAAAAACAGATTTATGCTGGACTAGGTGGCTTCTTCAAGAACAGCCTGTGGCTTGCAAAGTGGAGCAGAGGGGGTGGTGTCCTCCATCACAGGCCTAGAGAGAATGTTACTGAGGTGATAAGCAGGGCCCCATCATCTCATGTGACTTCGTAGATCGGGTGTCTCTCAAAATTAGCTGGAGTGGCATAATCATGTTCAAAAAACCAAAAATCTAAAACCACACAAAACCATAAAAACAGGTGCCTCGTCTAAAAAAAAGAAAGGAAAGGAAAGAAAAAGTGGCTTCTCCATTTAGTGGCAGCCACTAACACTGGTGAGAACCTTTGGGAAGACTAATTAATATCTATGATTTCTTTCTTTGTTCTACAAATTGTGGGTCATGATACCACCCCCCGCCCACACACACACACATTGTGAAGCCACACAAACACTATTGATTTATATTTGGAGAGCTTTCTCATGCAATCTTCTTTAGTTCCCAAGGGATAACAGTGGTTATCTATAACTGTATTATTTTCCCTGTCAATTTTCTCTTCATGTGGTGAGCCAATAAGCACAAAAGAGTATCTATCAACCATATAGTTCAAGATAGGGAACCCAGTAGTATGTCAACAGAGGCAAGCCAGCAGACCCAGGAAGCTACTTAATCCTGTGGAGATAAGGAAGGCTTGCTTAAAGGGACTATTTTTCCTGGCAAAGCCTCAACTTTCTCCTGGAGAGTCAGGAGTCTCCTTCAAGATAAGCAAGCAGGCATTCAAGGAAGAAAGAAAGCTACCACAATCCCAACCATGGCCTGTAGGAGCAGCAGGGCAAACCTTGATGGGAGGTTCTAGAACCCTGAGCCAACAGTTCTACAAGAAGAAGCACAGCCAGGAGTGTGTGGTGCACACCTGTAAACCCAGAGCTCAGTGAGCTGAGGCAGGAGGATTGAGAGTTCCAGGAAAACCTAGGCAACATAACTCTGTTTCAAAAAGAAAACAGAAAGAATGTAATTCCAGCACTTGGGAGGTTGAGGCAGGGGGATGGCTAGCCTGAGTCCCACAGTGAGTTTCAGGCTAGCCTGAGCTGCCATGTGGGGATTTGCATCTAAATAAAAATAAGTAACATGAAAACGGAAGCTCTTCCCCTCTCTGGCCATCCCTTCTTTCAACAAATAAGAAGTGAGCACCTACTAATCGCTATGAATTGGTGAAGCATTAAGAAGAGAAGGTCGGACATCATTCCCTGCGGTTTAGACGTTCAAGGTGGGATTGTGAATGAAAACAGCACAGGTACACAAAGCGTGGCCACAGGGGAAGGTATGCTCAATGGGCAGTCAAACATCTGAGCGCCCAACACTCACCCCTCCTTGTGAATGTGCCAAACAGGGATTAAGCGCATGCTGGGCCTCTCACAGGGACCACCAGAAGCCCATACCACCCATCCGCGAGGAACCAAGGGCAGGAAAAGGGTGTAATCACCAAGCAAGGCCCAGCACCCCAGGCAGGCAGAACATGCTGTCTTCCAGCTGTTTGTGTATCATTAGGAAAGAAATTAAGATGTCATTAGGAAGAAATGAAATAATGTGCATGTCGTTGTGACAACAGAGAGGCAAACTGCCAGATCTGCACGGAGCCGAGATGGCCCCCGTGCAGCCCCTTTCTGGAGACCAAGTCTGGGGACACAGACGAGGGGGCTGTCTCACCAGCGTTCTTTCCTTTGTAGAAAATCTTCATGTCCATCAGGCCTGTGAGCTGGTTTGCTAGAATCTCCATCCGTGCTCCACTGTTTTTGGAAGCTCTGAAGATGCTCAGCTGTGACCAGTCATCCCAGTAGATTTCGTTCTAAAGAGAAAACCTTTGCCTGTTAGTCTCGATCAGTGGCCCTTCTTTCAGGACACTTCATGAGGACAAAGGTCACTTCATGCCAGCACTATGTGGGCACAACAGATAACTACTGAATAACAGGCCTGGCCAAACTTTCACTTAAGTCCAATTGCCAGTGCCTTTACTGAAACCTCACCAACTACCCACCGGGGGAAAATGGCCTAGAAGAGACTATCTAGTGTGCACTTAGTCAAATGCCAGTGAAGTGCCTCAATCTTGGAACCCCAGCTTTCAGCCTGTTGAAATGTGAGCAGTGGTAGAAGCCTAGCACTCGTCCATGAAGGCGAGAGGAAAGTGAGTACAAATTTGGAAGAGAGTCTATGACATTGGACAAACTCTTTGCCAAGGCCCAACAGGCCCCAAATCTGTACCTCACCACCTTCTTCCCCTGCTCTGGCAGATGGCACGTGGGCACATGGCAGAAGAAGGACTCACCTTGAAGACAGCAATGGCATAAGGGTGTGGGAGATTGTCCAGGATGACCGAACGCTGCTGGCCACTGAAAGTGATGCGCTCAATGCAGTCCAGATATGCATCTGTCCAGTAGATCCACTGGCTGTCCACAGCGATGCCGTTGGGCCACTTCACATCCTCCGACACAAGACGATAAGCAGCAGAGCCGTCCATGTTGCTCCGGTAAATTCCAGGCTTCAGGTCTCCCCAGTCAGTCCAGAACATCACCCTGGTCAACAGAGGGATCACACAGTTTCATCAGAAGGAGGCAGGAGAGCCTCGATTCTATTTCCGAGAGGTAGTGGAATAATTATTAGAACAACCAACCTCGGAACAATCAGTATAACTATTACGTGTCATTACAATATTTGAGATTCATTCAGAAATTTAAAATGTTGAACTTGACTGAAAAATTCACCTACTAGAGTCCACCTATAATTACATTTTCTCAACACTATTCAAAGAAATGTACATATATGTATATTAATCTAAATGCTAATTGGTAGAGGAAGTGTTATGTAATATTATACAACAGACTATACCTATTGAAATGCTCTCCCCCCCCAATGCTCTATACAAAGTACTTTGAAGCCTACACATTTGTATGTGCAATTTAGTTTTTGTTGACAACACAAACTAGAATCATCTCAGAAGAAGCAACCTTGATCAAGGAACTGCCTCCATCAGACTGGCCTGGGGGCGGGTCTGTGGGGATTATCTTGATTGATGATTAATCCAGACCACTGTGGGCAGTGCCAGCCATGGGCAGGTGGTCCTGGGTTATGTAAGAAAGCAGACAGAGAAAGCCACAGAGGGCAAACCAGAAAGTGTGGTCTCTGTTTCAGTCCCTGCTTCGGCTTCCTATAAGTAAAATAAACTCTTCCTCCCACCAAGCTAGTTTTGATCCATGTTTTTAACCCCAGCAACAGAAAGTAAGCTAGAATACTACCCGTGTTCTGATAAACTGTAGTCATTCAGTCCACACGTCCTTCAGCAGGCAGCAAAACCCAAACACCTATGATTCTATCTGATGTGATGTGTCATGTGTGCCACTAAGGGGCGCTAGCTATATTCAAAGATCGTGACTGAACACCAGCAAAAACTACTCTGAAAAATACAACCAAAAAATTAACAGTGGCTATTATGTATGACTAATGGTGACTATTATGTAACAGTGATGTGATTACTTCCCTGGGATGTAGGAGGATGAAGGGTAAAGAACGACAGCGAAACAAACACAAGTTTCCTCTGAAGATCTTCTGCTCTCTCTTAATATCTTTATCCAACCCCATTGATTTCTTTTAGACTTTTCTTTTAAAAATAGTGCAAATTCTCCATCGTAAGTACACCGGGAGAAGAAAGCTAACCCAGCATCTCCTTCTTAGCTCTGTTTCCTATGACTGCAGAGATAATAAAAGGCAGTCATGCATACCCCAAGCACATATTAATTTTAAATAAGAAAACACGCACATTCCGGGAGTTGGGTGTGTGAGAAAGACTGATTGAATTAAAGGTTTGTGAGATGCATGAAACTCAAAATTAAAAAAAAAAAAAAATCCTTGCAATGTATCAGTGGCCTGCCTGGTTTACAAAGACTCTCTTCAATGTTACCTTGCCACACAAATGCGAGACATCCAGAGACCTTAGGAGAACAGGATGCTTGCTGACCAAATGTACATGGAGTTCCCAGACCACAACTACCAAGCTATGGCTTCAAAGGCCTCAGTCAACCGGTTACCACCACCATGATCATGAGAGGCAGAAACTCTGCCACACGTTTACACTCTCATGAGCATCTGTTGCAGCAGTGAGCACAACGCCAACTTCCCATGGAGGGACAAACTTACCCCTCTTGGGGTACAAGGACCAGAGCTCTGGGCCGGTCAAGCACGGAAGAATTGATGATCGTCAGTCGGAAGTCGCCATCTGGATTAGCTACCTGACGAAACAAAGGTGGGGTTGGGGGGAGATGGAGAGGGATCTGAGCCCCTCGCAAAGTCCACCTTGAGAAAGACCTCCACTGGGCTCTGCCTGTAGTCACACCCTGCACAGCCCCTCTGTGCCCTGCCTATGGGCACACCATGTACACCCACTCTGTGCCCTGCCCATATGGCACACCATGTACACCCCTCTGTACCCTGCCTACAGATACACCCTGCACATACCTTTGTACCCTGCATATAGGCACACCATTTACACCCTTCTGTGCCCTGCCTATGGGCACACCGTGTACACCCTCTCTGTGCCCTGCCTATGGGCACACACTGCACACTCCTTTTGTACCCTGCCTACAGATATACCCTGCCCACCCCCTCTGTGCCCTGCCTACAGGCACACCCTGCACACCCCTCTGTGCCCTGCCTACAGGCACACCCTAAATAACTCCTCTGTGCCCTGACTTACAGGCACACCCTACAAAACTCCTCTGTGCCCTGCCTACAGGCACACCCTCCGCACTCCCTCTGTGCCTGAGTACTATTCTAGAACCACTGGGAAGCCTGCCTTGACTCCCAGTCAGAGGGCACAGATCATCTCCCTGGCTGAGAAAATTTTCCCATGGGCTTAAGGAGAAGAAGCTAGAAATGTGTGTTTCCTGACCCCAACCCAGGGCATGATAACTTGCACAAAGGGAAATGATGTGGTCCCTTCAGGTTCATGAAGCCCCACACATACCATTCTTCCATGCTTGCACACAACCCACACACATCTTCCTGCAGACTTGAAACTACCCCTAGACCACCCACAATTCCTACAACAGTGTTGGCACTAAGTAAATGGGTGTTGTTGAGTTGCTCAGGAATGGGTGACAATATTTTCAATTCATGGATAGGAAACTACAGATTTGGAATGCTGGCTGTACCCAACCGCCAACACTACCCTATAGTAATTCTTCTGCCAGTATCCGGAGGAGACTCCCCTTCAGCATCAGGTCAGCTCAGAGGGTGGAAGCTTCCCATTCACTTCAGCTCTCTCTACACCATCCGCTCCCCAGTCACATAATCCCATGCCTCGCTTCATGCTCTGAGCAGAAGCCATCTTCCTCAGGGCAGGCTCCTTTATCTCCTTGTCACTTTGCTTCTTCCACTGAGCTAGTTTGTGTAGTTGTCAGTGGTTTCCATTTGTTTTAAGACAAGATCTCTGTGTATCACAGGCTGGACATTTAACTTGCTATGTAGCCCAGGCTGGATCAAAATCTTGATCCTCCTACCTCAGCCAACTGCTGGAATTACAGGTATACACCATCATACCAGTGCCATTAAACTTAAATTCAATCAGAGAGAGAATGTGTGTGCCCTTCCCTACACCTTGCTCACTGCATCACCAAACTTATGAGCAGGCCTGGCACATCACCAAGGAGCACTCATTCAACAGCTAAGTAAATGAATCTTGCTCTCAACATTAAGAAAAATAAGTTTCAGGAAGTCTCTTGCTGTATGTCCCAGAGCTGGCAGGATGATGCATGAATCCAGGGTGTCTCTCAAGTCTGTGTCTCCTTCTTACAATGTCACTTATCTCTGCGTCTCTCTACTTTGTTTTTTTTTTTTTCCAATTAACCTGCATGTCACAACTCCACACTGCATCAAAACAAAGAGCTGCTGGGCCAGGATTCCTGCCAGACAGGGCACAGATGACTCTTCAACACAATACTCTGGGCAGTTTACACGCCCTTCATCACCCTCGTGTAACTGTGGCTCTACGAGGTGGAACAGGTTTCTGGGCAGCTAAGTAATAGATAGACAGAGTCATTGCTGCGTTAGGTAGTAATGGACTGTTATTGTTATGATGATTACAACACTATGAAATTGTCATCATTATTGTTACTCTATGATCCTCCTGCTAGCTAAAATACAAACTCTTCTGAATCTTAAATGGCACCTTGAACTTTGCATCCTCACTTGGGTTCCTCTGAGATGACCCCCCTCTCCTCTCTTCAGAGGTTCAGCAAGCTGAGGCCCTGGAAATCCTGGGAAATTTCCAGAGTTACATGACACACTGCTTTCTGTTTTAGTGTGAAAACTGGCTCAAAGCCCAGCTGCTCCCCCTGTTTGCTTAGTGAAGAACACAGGAATACTCATACCTCGATCTTTTTAAAGCCAGCATCCACCCAGTACAGTAATTGGCTGAGGGGTTCAAAGGCCAAAGCCTCCACAGTCTCCAGGCCAGAACTGATGATCACCTCTTGCCCAGTGCTCCCATTCAAACAGAGACGCTGGGGAGAGAAAGCAGCAGTCAACACTGTGAAGTGTGCAGTGGACTCAGGCCAGTCAGCCAGTCCCACAGCGAGTAAGCCTGCCTTCAGCTAGCTGGTTTGCCAAGGGCGTGAGGTTTCATAGGAGGAAATGTGTAGGTACAGAAGCTGGGTTAGATAGGAGAATCTTTATGACCCTGCTTTAAACATAGTGACAGGCAGAATCTAATTGTTTCTCTTACTGAATGCTAGTATTATAAACACAGATTACTAAACTATGGACTGTCTTGGAGTAATGACCTTTCTATGGAGACATAGGAATCTGCTGTTTTGAAAACAAATGAAAAACAGACTGCCACTACTTTTTAATTCTCCTGTCTCCTGTCACAGTCTTTTATCTCTTGCAAGGTTCTTAGACATCAGGTATCATTGTTGAGACAATTATTCTCAGTGGTTTTCCCTAACCCCACCCCTCATAAAAAAAAAACTTTATATTAGGCCAGGACTTTGGAACCAGGTAGAAAATGAGTCAATATGATACAGTTCTCTTTTTGCCTTTTTTGAGCCTATGGCCTGCTTGCTGGATAAGATATCTACCACTGAGCTACATTCCCAGGTTCATTTGGGAACGGAGAAATGGCTCAGCAATTTAAAGTGCTTCCTGCTCTTGCAGAAGGAAGCTCAGTTCTCAGCACTCACATGGCCACTAGCCAAGAGTCTGTAACCACAGTTCCAGAGGAGACTTTTCCTGGCCTCCCCTGGCACCAGGCATGTAATGGTGCACAGACTTACATGCAGACAGGACACCCATACACATAAAGTAAAATTTAAAAAAAAAGAATCTTTAAAATGCATATATTCGAGTATATGGCCATGTGTCTGATCTATCAATGGATTTTTAATATCTATATTCTTCTTTTTGGGGGGGGGGGGGATTTTCGAGACAGGGTTTCTCCATAACTTTTGGTTCCTGTCCTGGAACTAGCTCTTGTAGACCAGGCTGGCCTTGAACTCACAGAGATCCACCTGCCTCTGCCTCCCGAGTGCTGGGATTAAAGGCGTGTGCCACCACTGCCCGGCAATATCTATATTCTTCAGGTTGTGTGTGTGGTGTGTGTGTGTTGTTGTTGTGATGGTGTAGTTGTTTTATTTTTGTGGTCCTGAAAATTGAACCTGGAGCCTTGTGTATACTAGGCAAACACTGATCTACTAGACTGTATGTCTTCTGAGTATGTGGGCTGAAGCCATCCCCCCTCCCCACCTTGCTTCTCTGCATGCCCAAGTGCTTCCTGGTTCTTGTGAGTTCAGGAGACCTGGAGAGGGTAGTAATGTGAACTAAGGAGAACTGGAGTGTTACTACACTTTGACTTGGAGGGAAAGATGCTAAAGAGGAAGGTAGCAACTAACAATCACACATCGCTGGCCCCAGAACCTTCCCAGCAAGAAATCTGAGACCTGGATGCAATCGGAGATGCAGATTGGGGGCGTCCTTCATCTTTCTTATGGGACATAGCCAGGCAGAGGAAGAAAATTACAACAGAAAACTACCATTTCCATAGCAGCCCAAAAATGGGTTACTATGTGAAACCTCTTGCGGCTCACCTACTTAAGCCTCTCAGGACTGGGCAGTCAGAAGCCACAGTCTCAAGACCTAACCAAGGGCTGACAGACTCACCTGGATGGTGTCCAGTGCAAGGTCTGACCAATACAAGCAGTTGTGTTCATAGTCAAAGTCCAAGGCCACAGCCGCCCTCAACCCTGAGAGAGGTAGCTGCTCCGTGGCTCCCGAGGCCAGGTCATAACGGTAGATGGACTTCCGCACAGCATAAAGGATGAACTCATTCTCTTCTGCAGACACAAAGCAACCATGATAGCCAGGGATGCTGAAGACTGCCTGGCAGGCTTGACCAACTTCCTTCTCACACACAAATCCCAACCCCACAAGAGGAGATAAAGTGCAAGATCTTAGGAGTCTAGACTCAGGACACAGAACAATATCACATTTCTGACCCGGCAAGTGCATTTCTCTATCTGTGGGTGGTTACACAGCGAAGACAAAATCTATTTCAACATCCATATTTCCGAGTAGTCTTCGGTCACACTCATCAATGTAAGTGACAGGCTATTCCATTTCATATCGTCTAACATCCCCACAGCACCATTATCTTGGTGACAACTTGGTAACGTCTGAAGCCTTCTACCCAAGTGTCCCACCCAGTTTGTTCAGTCATACATACTATTCACAATGACCCGTTGTGCTTTTGGCTGACCTGTTCCGTTTCCAAAGCAATAATGCATTTGTTCTGGAATGATTACAAAATGTTCCACAGAGTAATTACAGAAGTTCTGCTTCTGCTCAGCAAATGTTTACACAATGTACTTACTACGTACCAGGCATTGTTGAATCCTCCAAACCCCCGTGAGATTGAAGAATAAGTATGCATTCGCTCAAGGACACACAGCTAGGAAGCAAGCTGTCTGGATTCAGAGTCTGTTTCTGCCTTTACATAATGCAGCTCTGAATAGTATAGACCCTCATGATGATGCTTTCTTAAGGCTAATGGAGGGTCAATATGCTTCAGAGTGTTACCTAATGTCACACAACTGTAACTTAAGGTCTTATATTCTCTTTCTACTTAGAAGATAGCCCAGAAGGCACCAGGACCCTTCCACGGGAGTGCAGAGCAATGGGCATCTCTGTCTATAGCACACACAAAATCCTGGGACAGCTGAACACGGAGAAGTGCCTGAGGTTGGAAAGACTAGGAAGGACATGGAAGCCAAATGCCTGCCAGCCGTACTTCACCCTCAGCATCTCTTACAAAGCTCCATCAGCCGCTGTTCACCTGTATCCTTTATAGTACCTTGTGTAGCAATTAGATTTTAAAAGAACCCAGTCTAGAGATGCTGGGAAAAATGAAACGCCAGAGGAACTAGAAGGATGCCACTCAGAAGGGATGAGAAGCCTGGCCCATGTGGGTTCTTGAGCCAAACTAAAGCCAGTACTCTGACACCACTATGTCTGTGCCTGAGAATATTTGCTGCTTGTGTCATCTCTTCAAATAGACTAACAATAAAAATATCTCTAAAAACATTTAAAGCATCCACTGATGCCATGCTGTGTGTGGGACATGTGGGCCCAAGATGCAGACATGAATCCTTGGCTTAATGCTTGAATCGGCTGTCTCCCCTCCCCCGCCTGCCCACCCTGCTTTGTCTTTCTCTCATCCTGTCAATTCAATGAACTCACATACCCATATAACCACCTGCTTTATAAAAGCCTCAATATTGGGCTGGCAAGGTGGCTCTGCAGGTAAAGGTACTTGCAGCCAAGCCTAATGTGGTATAGGAGGTCCTTCTGTTTATGTGTTGCTTTCATATGTGTTGAATAAAGAAGCTGCCTTGGCCTTTTGACAGGGCAGAACTTAGATAGGTGGAGTAGGCCGAACTGAATGCTGGGAAGATGGGCAGAATGGCAGATACCATGAAGCTCCTGCCTGAGACTGAAGCTGGTTAGAATCTTTCCCAGTAAGCCATGACCTCGTGGTGATACACAGATTATTATAAATGAGTTGAATCAAGATTTGAGAGTTAGTCAATAAGGAGGCTAGAACTTATGGGCTAGGCAGTATTTAAATGAATACAGTTTCTGTGTGGTTATTTCGGGTGTAAGCTAGCCAGGCGGGCGGGATGAAAAGCAGGCCCTCTTTTCCTCCCTTCAACACTAATGACCCATGTTCAATCCCCAGAAAACCCACACAGTAGAAGAACAGAATCAACTCCTAGGAATTGGCCTCTGACCTCTACACATATACATAACCCTCCTCCTCACTGCACATACACACAAATGTGATTTTAAAATATCTTCAATATTGGTAACACATTGAAAATGAAAATCCACTAAGTAAGAGTGGGCAGAGCACTTGCTTAATATGTGGAGAGTCCTGGGCTAATCCCCAGCACTGCCCCCCAAAGTTTTAAATAATAGATTAGTCTATCTAAATCTTGAGTAAGGTAAGTCTACCTCTTTTTCCTTATTTTCACTATGTTTCAAAAATACCCGAGGTACCACCACACGGTAGCTAATGTCATTCATTCCAAGGCTGGGGACAGGAGAACGCAGGTCACAAGATGAAAGCCACGTGGCCAGCAGTGAATTTTCTGCCCCACATCTCTCCCCAGCACCTTCACTGCTCCTTTGGTTCTTCTAAGAACCCAGCGCCCTTCCAGCACAGTCGAAGACCGGAAGGCCTTGCTTGGGAGGCAGGCACGGAGCAGCACGCGATGCTTTCACGTGTGAGTCCTAACCAAGAAATGGAGCAGAGGCTTTGGCTGGCGCAGCCATGCATAAGCCCAGCCTAGGAAGATCCATTGTTTCGGTAATCATAAAGAAGAAAAATTGCTGCATCTTAAAAATCCTTCCAGATGCCCACATTACCTCATCTTTGTAGATGTTATGGTTCCCATTAGGCCTACAAAATATCTTTTTTTTTTCCTCTGAGAACTTCCTTGCTTGCATTTCAGGAATGACCCATCCTAAAATGAGACTTTTCCATTTCATCCCCTGCTCCCTCCTCTTCTATTGGAAGAGAAAATAGCTTTCTTGCCACTTCTGATGGCTTTAAACAAACAATTATGTCCCTTGCTGAATTATCCCTGGAAGTATTTATGACAAAAGGATGTACTCCAGGCCCTTAAGAGCAATCACTCAAACCCTCCTCACCCAAGCCCTCATCACTGCGGCTCACGAAGGGAACGTTCAAATATTATCTGTTCATTTGCAGGAATTCTGCTGAATTAGTGGTTCTTTTTACATCTCCACAGTGAGGTATGTTAATTACTCGGGTAACGATAGAAGATTAAATTAAGGGCCTAATGAGTTTAGCATGAAAACACCCGGGCAAGCCGAAGAGCAGAAAGCTGGCAGCAGGCTGCCCTGTGCGGCCTGCCTGTGGAAGATGGAAGACGGTGTGTCTATATCGTGACTCTCTGGGTGCTCGTGGCACTTTCATCACAACAGCGCTGCTGATGGAAGCCAGGGCCACTCACCTGCCCTCACTGACAAGCAGGAGCGTGATGAAGTCTCTGAGGAAGGAAGAAAGCCCTGATTGAATAAGACCTAGAAATAGTGAAGGAAGAAAAGAGGCCAAGCAATCCCTTTTTTATTTCTTGTGGTGTGTGTGTGTGTCTGTCTGTCTGTGTGTGTGTCTCTCTCTCTGTGTATGTATGTGTGTGCATGTGTGTCTGTGTGTGTATGTGTGTCTCTGTGTGTGTATATGTGTGTATGTGTGTCTGTCTCTCTGTGTGTGTATGTGTGTGTGTATGTGTGTCTGTCTCTCTGTGTGTGTATGTCTCTGTGTGTGTATGTGTGTGTGGTGCGCATGCACATGTGTATGTGTGCCCAACTGAAGATCACATGTCCCACTCCATTGCTCTCAGTCTGACTCCCTAAAAACAGACTCCCTCACTCAGGCTGGAGCCCAGCTGGTCTCCAGCAAGCCAAGCAAACCTCCTGTCCCCCCACCCCGTGCACAACACTGAGCTTACAGGCATGCACACAGTCGTTTCGTGTCTAGCTTTTATTTCGGGAACTTGAACTCAGGTCCTCATGCCTGCATAGCAAGTGCTCTTGTCCACTAAGCCATGTGCCCAGCCCAGTCACCTTTTTAAGGAATCGAATTTGGCACCTATATATATTACCAATAACTCACGTGACATCAGCACTAAACAGCTTAAAATGTGTTTGAAATACACTCATATCTTCATAACCTCTCCAAGAGGGTCTTTTTCTTTAGTAGGCATAGTAACAATGGGAAATAGGACTAACACTTAAGGGCCATTTGGATCCTGGACCTTCAGGTCTGAATTTTAACACAGTCAATTACTAGATATATGACCTTAGAAGCATCTTTCCCTCTGAACCTGCTTGCTTCCTCATATAGACACACATACAATAGTTCTTTTTGGAGCCAAGGATCTCTGCATCACTGGGATGTAGAGACAATTCAACTGCCAACACATGGACAAGTGAATTGAAATTCTAACAAAACTAAGATTTAGTAGAAAATTAAGATAGACCACTTAGCTAGTTTAGAAGGAGCCTCAGTCTCTTATATTCAGCTTTGACAAACCAAGAGACACACCAAGGCCTGTGACTATATCCCAATTCCCAGTGTTCAACATACAACAGACACCAAGTAGACTACCCCCCCAAGCCTGACCTGTCACCAAATATTTCCCATTCTTCCAAGGTGGGAGACTACACGTGAGTTTCATGTGCCTATTAAAGCTTAGAGAAGGGGCATCCATGATGCTTAAATTCTAAGAAAAGCCGCATGCCTAGGTGAGTGAGACCAGAATGACTCAACCAGCACTCGAGAAGGCAAAGCGAAGAGGCTGCCTGTCTTACCTGCCAGGGGACAAGGGACCAGCTCCCCTTCCAGCCGCGCTTCCACATCTCCTCCACTGCAAGTGTCCCCAGAAATCTTCCGATAGCTGTTACCCCCACCACCAAAGCGAGAAGTCAGAAACACAAAGGGTACACATGGGTCATGGAGGTAACCCCAACTGAGCAAATACTCCTGGCCAAAGTCAGAAGGATGTTTAGTCACCCTGAATCAGTGGTCCTTGTAATTATTTAGAGTGGCCAGATCCAGATAATCTAATACACTGCTTGGGGAAACACTTCAAAATATGTTTCTTCTATAAACTTCTCTGAAGATGTCTCCCCAGCTGAGGGTGACCTCAGCCTTGCAGAAAAGCTGGCAGACTGTGTTTTCTCACTGGGAATAGGAGACTCTGCAGACGAAATTAATTTAAAAAGCTGTCCAACCACCTGCAGTCTGTAACTTGGGGTTTGAGAATAAATTCACCTAAAGGGTGCAGGCAGAAACACATGATCCTCATAGCTCCCTCCTTCCCCAGGCAGACCCTTGTAAGCCTGATTCAACCAATTGTGTGATACGTACCCTCTCGTTCTCCTGTATGTAGAACCCACCGGACAAGGCATAGGAGGACTGTAGGGCTTCCCAGAAAACTCGGGGTCTGGAACACAAACCTCTAAGGAGAGATCTTCACTGAGCTTGAAGCCAAAGTCACTGAAAAGGCAATTGGAGATCATTTAGACATAGCCTTGACACTTCAAAAACAACCTGCAACATCTAATCTCCACAAGCCCTTTAAAGAACCCCCACTTAGTTATACTAAGCTACATCTGCATAAAAAAGCTGTGTATCAGAGTCCCATCTGGAGAGTCACTGCTACATACCCTAGGCAGACGAAAAAATGATGCAAGCCATGATGCCAAAGGAAAATCTCATCTACTATCCAGTCTCGGGGCCTGTCTGTTCTTGGTTAAAAGGGAACGGCAGAGCTGAAGCCATAGCTCAGCTGGTACAGTGCCTACCTAGCATGCACAAGGCCTTGGGTTCAATACCAGCACTAGGTGAGGAGTCAGTGAGTGGAGATGAGGTGGAAAAGGTGACAGGAGGAAGTGGAGGCCTTGCAGGCGGGGGACCTCATTCTGTAGGCAGGAGGAGCCTCAAAGGCCTTTGGGGAGAGTTGAGCTGAGCAGAGCTTAGCCTTAGCGGTTCCTGTTGTTGAGTACACAGTATATGGTCCCTTCTGTCAGGTGTGGCTAGAGCGTGGGCTTGCAGCGAGCTCAGAGCATTTGTTTCAGGGGCGGTTGAGGCACTAACTGCGTTTTGCCATCGGCACCATTGTACTTGGCCGGCTAAAGCCAGAGCCCTCTGATATATGCTAGACCAGAGGCTGGAAGAGGGCTCTGTGGTAATTTTTTAGGCTTTGCACGCCACATGGTTCCAGGGGTGCTACTCAGCTATGCCTCTGGGAGCGCTCACAGATGAAGGAAAGACATCCTTGGTGAAGGGATCTGGTTGTGTTCCAGGAAATTCTGGTTTCATAAAAACAACCAACTAGATTTAGCCAAACACATATGGGTCTTGATAAAATATACACGCTGCCCCAGGTTTAAGCAGGCTCCAGGTGCTAGACCCTCCCTACCCCTTTGCATTCATTCTTATTTTAGCTTTCAACACGGGCACTACCGGCATCTGGAATCTGTAGGGTGTTTTGGAGCTAGCCTCCTCCAGAAGAGAAAGGTGACTGTACCAAGAAATAAAATTAAAACTAAGTCAAAAGTTCCTTGAGGAAATCAAACAAAGCTTTGGCTTTCTTCCCTCCTGGTTGCTATTTTGCTTTTTGAAAAAGAAATATAAAAGTCCTCCCCCACAAAACAAACAGAAGCTCAATCTCCTGGAAAAACTGGCAGGGCTGCTACGGGTCTGTTAGAACTTGTGTGGTACTTATTTCTGCTGGGTGCCGAGCCTTATTGTAGGTCAGGAAACAAACTCTGACTATGAGTCCCTATAGAAATGACTGAAGCTTTGGGAAGCCACACCCCTACTGAACCGCATGGCTGTAGAACTAGAAGACAACCTAAGTAAAAAGTGCCTCACACCGTTCCTGACTCAGAAAGCATGCTCAGTGAATGCTATTCCCACCCTTGGAGAAAGAGAGCATGTTCTCCATCTTTTATCCTCACACTGCAGAGAAGATATGATTCAACTCAAAGTCCCGCACATGGAGGAGGAACAAACCATTCATAGTCCTCCCGGGTGCAGGAGCAGTTGGACACGACCACTGGCCGGTCAAAGTCTTCCCCGTTAAAGCACGTTGCGTGGGGAGTCCTCCTTTTGAAGACTGTCTTGTGTCCTAGCAAACACTCGTTTCCGCGCTCATCAGACGGGGACCACAGCTTGTAGTCATTTTCCGTGCAGGGAACCCCTGAGAACAGAGAAGAGCAGAGCAAAGCATCAGATCCTGTCTCCCTACCCTCAACTCAGCCCTCCACTTCTGGTGTCTCTGTGGCTACCCAGCAAGGAGAGAAGTCAAAGTTACGCAACTCTAGTTACCGTGTGCTGAGGATGGGCAGTATCCCCGAGAATGAAGGCAACACCACTATAACAGTGGCGCTCGCCTGAGAAAGCCATGAAGATGCTAGCCACATATGACAACATTCAAACTTCTGAACCATAAAATTTGAGGCACGGGGGAAAAATGATTGCTGCTGTTTATTTTGGTTGATTTGTGCACTCTGTGTGTGTGCATGGGATTTGGGATTATTTTAAACTTATTTGCTGTGTGTATGTGTGTCCTGGCATCAGAGGACAGCTGTGGAGTCAGCTCTCTCCTTCCACCTTTACATGGGCTCCCAGGGTAGAAGTCAGGTCTCCAGGCTTGCATAGAAAACACAGTGAGATGCTGAACCATCTCACTGGCCCAGAGTTCTAGGTGGCTTTGCTTGCATGTTATTAAAAAGAGGCTCTATCTAGAGAATTTGGGTGAACCACAAACTCCTGATCCCCATGTCTCAACCTCCCCCAGTACTGGAATTCTGGCATCTACCAATACTTTGATAAGTATCTAAATTATTAGGACAGTTGGCAGTTCCTTTCATAAATCGGTATAAGCGGTGGGGTGGGGCGGGGGTGGGACTGAGCTCTCTCCTAGGGAAAAAGGACCCATTGGTAGGTGATGTCGGCATATCACTGACCCATCCTGTTTCCTTAGGATGAAGGCACATCTGAGTATAGGCTGAAGGCACTGAAGGATGCATTTGCCCTACTTCATGGTACAGGATCTTTATGCAGAGAGACTGGGAAATGACAAGATAACTTCACACTTATTCCACCAGCCCACATCCATCTAAAATGTCAGTTAGTGTGCCTATGGGAATTCTATGCTTATGTCTAGATTGGTGCCTTGGATCTTTTTTATGCGTGTCAGATTAAATACTACCCGAAGCTGATGCATACCTGTCAACACATTGCCATTCCAATTAGCAAAGAGTTATTAAAAACCCTGCCGTCTGTGAGGCAACAAAGAAACTCGGGAGGTGAAATAAAAATAAGCAAAGGAAAAGTCCGTATTTTGCAGAGCCTCACAACTAGGTGATGGAACATGAAACATAATTACAGACATGGCCATATAATTGAAGATGTGAGGGACACACTTATTTCGGAGCACAAAGAAGAGAGACACCGGGTGCTAGATCATGAGGTCGAGGTTGAAGGGGTGGCAATAAGAAGACACAGGGGGCATTCTGGACGGCTAGAGTAATGTCAGCTAAGGGGAAGTGAGGAAGGGCAGAGGTCGATGCGGCCATAAGAGCGAGCACTCAAGAGTCCATCAGGCCTCCCTGCTTAAGGATCTCAAGGGCACCAACAGAGCATATCTAGACTCCAGACAGCCTTCGAATGGCCCTGAATCGGTGCTATTTTTGGATCATGAATGCTCCTGAAGACCCAGGTGTTAGTCCCTGGCCCATGGCACTGTGAGTAAGTGGTGGGACTTTCCGGAAATGAGGCCTAGAGGAGTAAGGTCATTAGGGGTTTGATCTTAACAAACGTGCTGGCATGCCACCTACTTCCTCCTCTTCTCTCTCTTTCTTTGCTTTCTGAAAACCAAAGGATAAGCAGACTTCTTCCATCATAGCTCCTAGTACAGCCCAACATGAAAATATCAAGGAACTATGGACCAAAACCAGGAGCCAAAATAACGTTTTCCACCTTTTCCCTGATGGAGAGCTAATACAGACATACCGCTAAATAGGTCTATCTAACCTTTCCTCCATCCATCCATCCATCCATCCATCCACACTTTTAACAGATATATATCTAGACATACTCCATTCCAGGTACTGTGCAAGGAAGCCAAGGCACCAAGAATATAAACAGTCCACTAAGAACTGAGTAAAGCAGAAATCACCTGTGCCCTTGGTCCTTCACTCATTCACTTGGGCGGATCTCACCTAGTGAATCCAGAACTGAGGATTCTGCATCTAACCTGGAGCAATGACTTACCCAAGGCATCAGTGGCATTGACCTGCAGGATGAGCCAGCTGTGGACATTCTCCTTATTAGAGCCAAAGATGGTGAAAACGGTACTCTTCTCGCCAGGTTCTGTGAGAAGTCCATACACAAACACAGGCTTCTCGGAGAAGACGAACGTCTTCCAGGTCTCCCCTTCATTCGTGCTATACCTACCCAATGTGAGCAAAAGGAGCCTTGAGGTTACAATCCTGGAAGGCAGGCCTCAGTTTCCATACATCATTAGTGACCACAACCAGCACTCCGTTAAGAGGAAATGACCACCTGGTCATGACAGAGAAAGGGCAACTTTATGATTGTGCCAGAAAAGCAAGGGAGAGTTAGGGACAAATTCTGTCACCTGGAAATAATACAAGAACTGGGGTGTCACGCAGTGTTAGGTTCAGCCTCCAACATCCCCCAAAAGACACAGGAACTAGCTGACAGGACTATGAACAGCAAGAGTTAGGGAAATTTTAACACAGAAGAAAAGGATGATGGTAACGTGACATAGTGAATAAAGGTAGGACATGGGAGAGAGGAAGGGAGGGAGGGAGGGAGGGGAAAGGAAGGGAAGAAGGGAAAAAGAGGAAGAAAGTTATTTTTTCTTATACTGGAAGTCACCTAATATCACTAAAGAGTAATACTAAAAACAAACAGTAGAAAGTAATATTACTAAAAAGTAATAATAATGTTATCCTTCTGTAATTGCCACTGTGAGAATCAAATCAAATAAAAATCATCATCATATGCCAAAATGACCATGTGAAATTTCAGGGAACTAGGATGCCCACGTGGTCTAAAGATAACAACCCACGGGGCTGGAGAGATGGGTCAGAGGTTAAGAGCACTGCCTGCTCTTCCAAAGGTCCTGAGTTCAATTCCCAGCAACCACATGGTGGCTCACAACCATCTGTAATGAGGTCTGGTGCCCTCTTCTGACCTGCAGTCATATACACAGACAGAATATTGTATACATAATAAATAAATATTAAAAAAAAAAGATATCAACCCACAAACTAACCATTCACTGCTGGGGGAAAGTCAACTTTATGCAGGGCAATGAGCCACACCCTCCCTTTCCTACACTTGCTCCACACCAGCAGTGGGGCAATCAGACACAAGCTCCTTATTCACCACAACCTTTCAGCACCATTCAACACAACACAGATGTAGTTGATGACAACTGCTTCTATTTACTTCGATACACATGCATGAGGGCTGCAGAGACGTCTCAGCGGTAAAGCCATTGACATGCAAATATAAAGACCTGAGTTCAGATCCCCAAAACTCACAGAAAGCAGAACACAGCAGCATGCATCTGTAATCCCAGCACTCCTACAGCAGCCTGGGAGGTAGAGACAAGAGAACCCCAGGAAGCTCGTGGGCCAGCAAACCTAACAAACAACAAGGTGACCCTGCTTCTAACAAGATGAAAGATGAGGACCTCCACACTTGCTGTAATATGCATGCACCACTTACACATGATTACCCAAGCGTGCACGTGCGTGCACACACACACACACGCACACACACACACATACACACAAACACACACACACACACACACACACACACAGAGATTAATTTTTTTCAAATTTTCAATGTTATCAAAGCCAAGCAAATAAAATAGCTAGCGGAGGGCTTGTCATAGCGAAATGTGTAAATCCAATGCAGGGCGTAGTTGTGCGATGACTGAACCCTGAAGCCATCACCATTAGCAACACCAGACAACTAAGCAAAGAGCCACCGAGAGATATTTAGTCCATCTTAGATTTTCAAACGTGATCAAAGAGGAAAAGGCCTTTACTTATTGGGGACTCATGTTTATGTGCCCAGTGAGCCATGAAAGGGCAGGAGTCTGCAACCGTTCTTGAAACAACTTGAGCTTAAAGGAGAAAATGGAGAAGACAGATAAATACACAGGTAGAGGAAGGTAAGCGAGCTGGCACTTTAGCAAAGACCACCAGAGTGTTCTTTACATTGCTCCCAGCTTTCCTGTGTTTGTAAAATTTAAAAAGGGCTGTGGGAAAACAGGCGCTGGGGCAGAAAAAGGCAAGTCCACAACTTCAGAATAAAAAAGAACAGGTGAGCGATTACACCAGCTTTTAAGTGGTCTCCCAGAGGATAGGGCATCATTCAGGGCCCCTGTGGTATGAGCGGTGAGAATCGCTGCATTCAAGTTTTCTCTAGAACCAGGGGCTACCAGGTTTCCACAAAATTCTAATCACATACAAACCTTTTTCTTTCACTTTTCCTAGAATTTAGGGACTTTTGTTTTACTCCCTCGGGACTCAACAATTTGACACGAATCTCTTGACAAGCTCACTCAATCCCAACAGTTCCTCTATACTGAGATTTGTGAACAGACCTCTCTACACCTGAAGGCTAAACAAAGCGATGGGGTCTGCAGCCCCCAGGTGCACCCCAACCAGCACAGGTCATACCTGAGAGTAAATTCTCATCCAAGTGTCATGACTGCAGTTTCAGTGAGGTTTAATCAAATATGGTTAACCCATTCCATCCCTTGTTTTTTTTTTTTCTAACGTTAAGAAGATGCAGGTTCAGTATCACACCTAAAGCTACCTTCAGAGTTGGTCCATTAATCAGGGAGTGGTCCCCCTGTTCAATGATGATATTGGGAGCCATGGATTTTATCATGGTTAAGTTAATTTCATTTAAGAGATCCTCCAACCAAAGATGATCCCGAGAAATGAATCATTTCCTTATAGATTCCCAGAAGATCCAGACAGTAAGTCATTAAAAAGACAAACCAGCAGGTGTGTGGCCAAGCACAGCCTCATTTAGAACATGGCAATTTTCAGGATGTTGAAGAAAGGGTTGTCATCTGACAACAGCAACAGCTAAGGGAACATCTAGGTCACATTGATCCCAGCATTCTGCTACCAAAGAGAGGTAGTGAAATTAAATTTCACTTACTCGTGAAATTAAAATGACAACAGATAAGAAAAAAACAAATCACAGATCTCTTTTTCTTTTCTTTACTCTCTCTCTCTCTCTCTCTCTCTCTCTTTCTCTCTGTGTGTGTGTTTGTGTGTGTGTGTGTGTGTGTGTGTGTGCGTGTGTGTATAGCTGCATATACACATTCATGTATGTGTGGAGGCAAGTGGTCAACTTGAAGTTGTTGTGTGTCTCCATCACACTCCACCTTATTTTTGGACCAGGGACACTTACTTACCGACCCTGGAGCTCACCAATTTGGCTAGCCTAGCTGGCTAATAAGATCTTCCTCTATCTCTGCCCTGCTCCAAAGGGCTGAAGTTACAGATGTGCACCACCATGATTGCCATTTTACATGGATGCTGGGGATCCAAATCCAAGTCCTCATACTTGAACAACAATCACTTTATCCATTGATCCATCTCCCAAGCCCCATCTTTACACTTTTAAGTCACAGATGATGATCCTGTGTCTTGATCCTTATTCTGCTTAGTGATGAAGAATACAAATTGCTTAGAAAAAAATTGGCACATGGCAAAAACTTCCCAAGACAATAGAAACATCATATATACATCAATACAAAATAAAACATGTAACTACAGACTTTAAAGGGGAGAAGCAAAGGTAATTACTAAACATGATATTATCATGTGGCTGACAAAAAAAAAAGAGCTATATATTTTCTGAAAATGTTCAATCAAGATAGGGAGAGACAAATCGTCTAGATCAAAAGATTTAAGAGAAGATTTAACAGAAATCAACTTCCTAGAAGTTCACTTCTGCCCTGACTCTTGATAGCTAGAAATTTATCTGAAGAGAAATCAAATAATTTAAGTTCAAGAGTCAGGACTCATAATTCAAATTACCAAAATAACTAGTAGACTATTGTCAGTGGGCTTGAAGGCCAGTGGGCTGGTAGGACAATGAGTGGGGTGAGGGAGTCAATGGACAGGAAGGGCAGTGGGCAAGCTGGAAGGCTAGTAACTTCTGTAGAGGATTATAAAGGAACAAGATCACTGTCCTCATGGCCAGTAATATAAAGAATAAAGATTTCACAAAGAATTTGTATTTCACTTTTGTCCTTATTGCCAAATGGTTTTCAAGCTGAGCAAGGGGAAATTAAAGGCATAAAACAAACACCTACTAGGGAACAAGAAGAAATAAAGATAAAATGATCAGAGTCCTTTTCAGAAATTTCTCCAAGAGTCAGGCAGAACAGATCCTAAAGACTGGAAGATCTACAGTCACTTTGTTTACCTAAAGTAGAGAAGGAAGTTGAGAATGGTTACAAAAGCACTCACTTAGGCAACCGGAAGCCCCAGCTGAGCACTCAAATGGTTTCTTGTCACAACAAGCTAACCCATTTCCTTTCTTCCTGATTATTCTTGATTTGAGCAAAAAGGTTGTGTTAGGTACTTATCTTGTTGCTATCATAAAACACCCACAGCAGCACCGTAAGGGTGGGCTTGTTTAGGCTCACAGTTTGGCTGTGTGGTCAAACATCACCGCGGTAAGGTCGAGATGGCAGAACCTTGGGCACCTGGTCACCTTGCACCAACAAGCAGCAATGAGTGTGTGTCAGCTCCCTTTCTCCTTTTCATTCAGTCCAAGACTCTAGCCGATGAACTGGTACCAGCCACATCAATTAGCCTAATTGAGCTAATCCCTCTTACATGCTCAGAGATTTGTTTCCATGGTGATTCCAAATTCCGTCAAGTTGATAATCAAAACCAACCAACAAGGATAATGATGTGAGAACAATTTTTTTTAAAGGAGATCTCTGTGGACCACACAGATAACATTTCATTGCTGATGAAATAATGTGAAGTGGGCTGATATATATTTTATCACAAAACAAAATTAGATTTAAGTTTCTCATACAGCTCCATGCTCTGGTCAGCAATTTAGACAGCTAACGTGAATGTGACTGTACAAGCAAAGGGTATCAGACCAATTGTACAAATATTTTTTTTAAATTCTAAAATTAAATTGAAATGCTTTCCGGCATCAAAAGAATAAGCAAAATCAAGAAAATTAGATTCCATATGAAGTTTCCAAGGCTTACTTGCTCAAATTTAAGATAGGAGACACTGGACATCTGTCCTTTAGTAAAATCGATCAGAAAAATGAAATGCCAGGCCGGGGATGAGTCAGCAGTTAACACTCGCGCCATCCAAGCGAGAGGATGAGAGTTTAGATCCCCAGAATCCAC